AGGAGATCTCTTCATATGGGTAGGATGTGAGACCAGGTTCCACCCCCGGATTTTGCATCAGTGTTTGTCTGCCTGCCCTTCGATCAAATCCACGAAAAGGGCGTGACAGCACCTGCAGGGAGCAACTTGTCCTCTTACTGTCCGCCAAATTGCCAGGCGACCGGGAACGTGTAATAGAAAATGCTCTCGGACCGACAGAATGCCCGGCATGGCGAAAGGCTAGCTGGCAAAAACCGAAAAATGGTAAACTAGACTTGGCCCAGCACAAAAGATGTCGCAATTTTTGCGCCAAGTGTACATGGGCCTGTCTATGAAAATAAAGTTGCTACTTCTCCCGGGATGATCTGAGAATAACTCATCATCCCGAAGTCTGGGCGTCGCTGCTGATGATGCTGCCACCTGCAAAGCCGAACCCAGAGAAACGGAAGAAAAGAAATCTGAGAGAATGAATGAATGAATTGATACATGAATAATAATAAGTAATTTGCAAGTTCACAATGTGGGACCTGAAATATTCTGCATGTGCCCCTAAAATGTCAAGTTGGGGGCCACTGGGTCAAAAACAAAAAAGGTTAGTCTAGTGTTCCTCTCAAAACCATCAATAGGAACGCCTTATCCATGTGTGTGTTACATGCGCACTATTCCCTTTACATTTTTTTTTTCCTCACCAAAAGCATCCCTGTCTGAAGTGGCAATCAAAATGCTTCCAACCAATGATTGAAAAATTACCGGTGAAGCTTGACATGCCTGCCAGGAGAAAAGCAAATCTTTAGAATGGGACTTCCTCGCGCTTCGCCGAAAGGGTTGATTCTTTGGCAGATGTAGCACTTCCCCCCCATTTTCCATCCACACAACTGGAATCCAAGAATGTTATTGAAAACATCTTCGCCCTGAATCAAGTTTCCCGAAAACATGCCCGGACCTCTCCGCGCTGGAACTCAAACTAAATTACCCGGCTTGGCGCTGATGAGCAACAGGCAGGAACTTTGAATCAGTTCGTACTCATGTGAACTTTCACCCCCGGATACCATGTCAACTATTTTGGACGAGGTATTGATTTTTTTTTTTTTTTTTTGTAATCATTTTTGTTTCAAACTAAATAGGGTTCTTTGTGCTGGCAGAGACAAACAATCAATTGCTTGATCAATGAAAATTTTAAACGTATGACAACAATATGGTGATTCTGAAGAACAACTCGTGTCACACAGCAAGCAAAAGAACTAGCGCGTCGAATAATACAACTGCAGCGAAAACAAATGTTAGCATGCAACAGAGCAACTAGCAACAGATGCACCCGCGAGCAGAACCACACGCAAAACAACAGCTAGCAACGAAACTGCAGTGAGAACACATTACCTACAGCTCCACCGAAAAACCAAAACCCAACTAAGTGTGTGTCAAATGTCTGTGTGGAGATGTTCAAAGTGTGTGAACTGAGGCGTTTGGAATGTTGCAGATGTGTGACAACAAAGAGGGTGAATCACTTCGAGAGCCTTGCTGACATTTTTTGCCCCAAAGAAAAATACTTTAGCTTGTGTGAACCGTGTGTGAAAGCCACTAGAAGGAAAAACATCATCTTGCACCACAGCAAAGAAGTTTGTTATCTTAAGCAGCTCACAAGATGTGGATTTCGATCTTCAGGGCTTGGCTTTTAGGGACTTGATGATCCAAAGGACGTAGCAGTTTGGGACCTGGTTGGTCTTTGAGGATCTGGGTTTCAGACATGGTTTTTACTGTCTTGGGACCTGGCTTTGAGGGATCTGGTTGTTTTAACCCCTTCAAGGACGGCATTTACTACAGTGGACAGCTAATCAGGTTCCAGGTTATCATTATTTCTGCATGAAAGGATTAAAGGGCTTGGTTTTCAATGACTTGATTGGTCCTCGGGACCTGCCATTTCGGCAACTGGTCGGCCTTAAGTACTGTTACTTTTGGGGTCTTGGTCTCAAGGGTCTTAGTTGTTCTTCGGGATCTGGGTCGTACTTTCATGGTAGATCTCAGAACCTGGCTTTTAAGGACCTGGATGGCTTGGCTTTTCGTGACTAGTCTTGAGGACCTGGATTTGGGGGGCAGAGACTTTGTTGTTCCGAAAGACCTGCTTATTAAGCACCTGGTTGGTTTAAGGATCTGCTTTTTAGGCATCTTGTTGATCTTAAGAATCTGGCTTTTTGGTATTTGGTTGTTTTTCAGGGCCTGGGTTTATGGACCTGATTGTTCTTAAGGACCCGGGTTGAGGGATTTAGTTAATCTTGAGGATTTGCTTTTTAGGAACCTGGTTGGTCTTCACGACTTGGCTTTTAGGGATTTGGCTGGTCTCAAGGATCTGATTTTTTGGGGCTTGGCTTGTCTCACGGACATGGCTTGTAGGCATGTGGCTGGTCTTGAGGACCTGCCTTTTAAGGACCTCATTTTAGAATCTCGGTCTTAAAACCTGAAGTAGGGCTTGGGATTTAGGACCCGTTTCAAATGTTTGTTGTAAATTGTATCGTGCTGTTGTTAAATCCATATTTTATTTTTTTATTTTTAATTGAAGGGAGCTGGCTAAAGCCTCTCCTTTCACAACTGCACAGAAACAGTCATCCATGCCTTCGTTACATCTCAATTGGATGACTGTAACACACTTTATTTTGGAGTCAATCAGTCCTCCTCCAAGCATCTCCAGTTGGTCCAAAATCCTGCTGCTCAACTTCAAACTGGACCTTGTAGGAGAGAGCACATAACTCCGTTGCCAGTCCCTCCCTTTGGAATGACCTTCCATTAAATGTTAGGCAAGCCCCCTTTCTGTCCATCCCCCAAACTCATCTAAATACACATTTTTATTCTAAGCTTTCAACTCAACATGAGACTCGCCACAGTTTGTGTTTTATTGTGTTCACTGTTTTTATGTTGTTAATTTATTGTTTTGTCTTTAGATGTCTGCACCATTTTGTATGTAGCCGTGGTTGATTTTAAAGTGCTCTTTGAATAAAGTTGAGTCGAGCTGGGTTTTGGGACTTGCACTCAAGAATTTAGAATGAGTAACATGAATTGCACACCTACAGTTAACAACTTGGAACAACACTACAGTAACAACATGGCTAGCTAAACAGCTACAATAACAAATGTAACAACACAAATGTCAAAACTACAGTAACAAGATACGTGACGATGCCAACGAGAGTAACACAGAGTCCTAACAACTAACTACAGTAACGTGACCCGCATTGGGGTCATCCTGTCAGCAAATGTAGCATTTGCTAAGCGCAGCATTTCTTGTGTGGTCTTTTTTTTTTTTTTGGCGTGTCAGTGTTAGGTTTAGCGCCTGAGCTTTGGCCGAGCTCGCGAGGCGCCATCTTAAGGGGTTACATTTGTTCAAAGCTCAGAAAGAAGGCCGTTTGTTGACATGCGGTGCAAGTTGCGTTGATATGTTGATCATCTGGTCTCTTTCATGTGCCTTTCATCAGTCATGTTCATATTTTGACTCATATGTTTCGCACTTGGGCGTCAGTGTGATGAAAGTGCAATAAAAATTTGGCAAGATATTTTAACTTTTATTTAATTTAAAAAAAAATAGGTGCTCGTGAGTATTTTCCTTTCTTTTACAAAGAACACTTTTGTTTTGTCTGAAGAAGATTGGTTCATTTTTGCATTTTTTTTTGTAACTTAATATTAAGAGTCGTAAGTTGAGAGCTGAGAGCTGACATTATAGTTACCTTCCTTGAATACTTGTACCATGATATCATGTTTAAAAAAAATACACAACATATTAACATCGCGTAACTCCCTTTTAAAGGGGAAAAACACATATTAACATTAAGAGTAGTCAATTTATTTTTACACCTCTAAAATGTCCAGAATTTCCAAAATCAATTTGAAATGTGGACTCGTCAGACCACAGAGCACTTTTACCACTTTGCATCTTAGATTGATCTGAGGCAAAATAGCTTTTGCTTTGCTTCGTAGAGTTTTAAGTTACACTTACGGATGTAGCGCCGAACTGTGCATCTCTGACAGAGGCTTTCTGAAGTGTTCCTGAGCCCATGTGGCGATATTTCACATTGATGTCGGTTTTTGACGCGATGCAGCCTGAGGGATTGAAGGTCACGGAGATTTTGAGTTGAAACTTATATGTCGTGTCGTTGATTGTCGTAGTGGCTTGTTACTGCAATACGAGTGTAGCCTACGCTACCGGAGACAAATTTCTTGTGTGTTCTACATACTTGGCCAATATGGATGGCTCTCATGCTGATTTATTTTAGAGTACAATAGTAGTTAAAAATGTTAAAAACAGTCTGTTTACAGGTAAAAGTTTCAGGAATGGACTACTTGTCATCTCCTATGTGAAAATATGTGTGTACATGATGGAGATGTGACGAACAGATGAAAAAGATGCACAGCAGCTGGACAAAAGTGGAAGGAGAAACAAAAATGAAAGGACCGTGCCAGTCGGCACTTGTCGTGGTCTTGCTGGAGGCGAGGTGTTAAATCACTCCACATTTGAGGCGCACAAACTTGGGAGTGGGAGGTCACGGTGGTAGCAAACGCGCGTGATTGACAGGTCAAAAAGACAAGAAACACACCCACTGACATTCAGACCTTCACCAAAGAGGAGATACATTAAAATATCATGGAGGATGTTGAAAATTCGGGCTTCGAGCGTAGTTTAGATTTCAAGTCGGGGGTTTACGCAAGTGTTGCCGTTACAAGTGAGGGTCATGTTTCAAATTAAGGCTCAAGTGTGCATTGGGGATTAAGGTTGGCTTTTCAAGCATCAGTGTTTTAAACAAGGAGTAGGGTTTCAAGCAAGGGTTAGGGTTTCAAATTAAGGTTTCATTTAAGGGAAATGTTTCAAATTGAGGGCTTAGGAGTTATGGTTTCAAATCAGAGACATTAGGGGTCATGAAACCCAAATGTCTCCTGCATACAACAAAAACAAAGGAAGTGACTTTACAATATTTATGGAGGGGACCGTAGCCGTCCACTGTTACTGATGTTTAATTTCGTCAACACAACAGGAGCCGTCAAGTTGTCGCCTCATTTTATTTAACCGTCACCAACGGAATTGAATCTCAGCATAAAAAATAAAAAAAACTGAAATAAAAATCAGTCACATGGCAGGCATAAAGTAATTACAATCAAAACGTACCGACAGTGATTGTACACAACCTATAGTGGTGGGAAAAATATAACTATAGTCACAGTTTGCATACAAAAACAATAATAAATAATGAATATACAATCTTTAAACACTTTCGGGGCTGCTAATTAACCAACAGTGTCGCGTACACAAAGTATTGCACGGTGAGGTTGGGGGGGAGGGGGGGGTGACGTGGCCGTCAAATTTGCGTTAGCTTAGCACGGGCAGCAACAATGGCGGTAATGGCAAAGACGGGAACGCAGGAAACGCGGCGGGAGATCAATACAGATTAGCGGGCGGTGATGAGGAGGAGGATGTTTTGCTCCATTTCGGGGGGGCCGCCTTCATCGCCATCATCATTGTGGTCACTTCCTGTAATTGTGCTCCTACTTAGTGTGTGTGTGTGTATGTTGTGTGAGTAAATGGGTCACATGGTAAGAAAACAACATCCAGTGTTTAACGACCAACTTGTGTTTCTTCTTGATCAGCTAAGCCGATCCTTTCATGTTCTCGTGAGGAGCAGTTTGGGAAGTTTTGGAAAATTCCACTCACCCGAAGCCGGTTACACTTAGCAACATGAAATTTGGTCGCCACGTCTGTCATGAGACCCACAGAAAAAGTGTCAAAGGAATGCTCCAAATGAAAGGAAAATGGTATTCCAGTAGTGACAACTTGGCCTGCTCGCTGATCAAATTGGAAGCACATATGCTCGACATGGCTAAATGCTAAAATGTAAAGATTGATCGTTGCATGTGGGTGGAGCATGGCGGCAAAGTTTTACGATTTGAACACTGGTTCGGTAGGACACCTCAGATGTTTTTCAAATTTTTAGCCCGCAAAGCTAATTCGATCTAGCCTCGTTGAATTCGGTAAGCATGTCTATCATGAGCAGAAACAGAATTTTGCAAAGGCCTTGCCCTAAAGGAAATGGAAGCCTACCAGGGGTCCATGAAAAAAACCGACTCTGAAAGAGTTTGTCTGATTGCTGCCAAAATTGAAGCACACTTGAACCATATGTGATGCAAAGTTTATAAAAAGTCCTGTTTCATCATCATTTCAGTGGTGCACTGCAGAATTTGGGGAAAATTCCACTTCGGAAACTGCTCGCTCATCAAACATGAAATTGGGTATCCACTGCATAATTAAATTGGGCTAAAATTGTTATGTGGGTAGTAAAGTTTAATGCCGTGCCATAAAACAGAAAACAGAGGCAATAAAGTCTGCGACAACACTTTGCGTGATACATTTCCCACACTGAAGAGATTTATAGGTGGCACCCGTTTGTGGCTGGAAATACAAGCTGCACTTGGGCTTTACTGGTGGTGTGCCCACATTTCCGCACATCGTGGCCCCCGAAAATATGTAAAAGTCTCAATTTCTATTTCCCCTTGATGACGTTCAAGTTTCTCTTTTTGGCGCAAGTAGAAATAAGCCCGTCTATTTGCAGTACGCTATTCACAAATGGACCTATTCCCATCCCCCCACCCCCTGTGGAACCTATCCTTTGCTAATTGCAGGAAACTCACCTTTTTGTGCTTTTGATGCTCTAAGATGACAAAATGGCGGCAAAGCCCGGGCTGATAGGAAAGTAGTACTTGGTGTAAAGTTAGTCTGTTCAAGTGATACAGCTCAACCGAGAGATGTCAGGGAGGAGCTAAGTTTAGCCTGGGTCGACAGTGGAAGTCACGAGTCTTCATTGCCTGTGCGTGTACATATCTGGCGTGATTGTGAATCATTTAAGAGTAATATGAGATGAGAAGAAGAGTTTGAAATAGTATTAACGTGTTGTGAGATTATAGTGGGTGGTATAGTGATGGTTAAAACAATTAGTACGGGTAATTATAAGCATTTGGGGGCATCGGTTACAAGTTTTTAGTTATTCGCAGTAAGTCTCAGTTCCTATCCCCGACGGGGTTGCACTGTGTCTAGAGAACAAAGGGTGAAGAATACAGGAGCAGAAGTATTATTAGTACAAACCTAAGTCCAATGAAGTTGGGAAGTTGTGTTGTATCAACAAACAAAAACAGAGCACAATGGTTTGCAAATCATGTTCAACCTACGGTATATTTAATTGTATACGCTCCAAAGACGAGATGATCAACTTTGTTTTTGGCAAATAATCATTACCTTAGAATTTTATGGCTGCGACCCCCCAGACTGTTGAACGGGGGTGGAGGTGGGGTTGTATTTTACGATTCAAAATGAGCCATGCATTTTCAATGGGAGGCAGGTCTGGACTGCAGGCATGTCAGTGTAGTACCGGCACTCTTATTTGGAAGCCACACCTTGCACATAGTGGTTTGGAATTGTCATGCTGAAATAAGTGGGGGGCATCAACGAAAAAGACAACAATATTTTCCTCCAAAACCTGTATGTGCCTTTGCGCATGAATGGTGCCTTCACAGATGTGTAAGTTAGCTACGCCATTGGTAGTAACACAGCCTCATACCAGAAGAGATGCTGGCTTTTGAACTTTGCACACAAAAACAGCCTGGATGGTTTCTTTGCCTCCCGGAAGGACACGACATCTCAAATTTCCCAAAACAATTTGAAAAGTGGAATCGTCAGACCACAGAACAATTTTTAGTCCATCTTCAATGAGCTCGGGACCAGAGAAGCCAGAGGCGTTTCCGGGTGTTGTTGATAAATGGCTTTTGCTTTGATAAACGGGTTTTGCTTTGCAAAGTTCTAAATTGCACTTTCGGATGTGGCGCCGAACTCTATTTACTGGGGTTGGTTTTCTGAAGTATTCCTGAGCCCATGTGATGCTATCCCTTACACAGAGATGATTTTTTATTTATTTTTTTTTTGGATGCAGCGTGAGGGAATCAGTCAGTGTTTGTTTTCGGCCTTACCGCTGACATGCAATGATTTCTCCAGATTCTCTAAAACTTTTGATTGGCCGTATATGAAGAAAACCCGCAAATTCCTTGCAACTGTACATTGAGAAATATTGTCCTTAAACTTTTTTCACTATTTTCTCAGCCAATGGGTCACAAAGAGGCGAACCTCGCCCCATCTTTGCTCGTGAAGAACGGAGCAGTTCATGGAAGCTCCTTTGATACCCAATCATGGCACCCGCCTGTTCCCAGTTCGCGTATTCACCGGTAGGATGTTCCAAACAGGTGTTTGATGAGCATTCCTCAACTTTCTCAGTCTTTTTTGCCACCTGTGCCAGCTTTCTTTGGAAGGTGTTGCAGCCATCAAATTCTAAGTTAATGATTGTTTGAGAAAAACACCAAAGTTTATCTGCTTGAACATTAAATCTCTTGTCTTTGTAGTGTATTCAATTAAATATAGGTTGAACATTTGATTTCTATAGAACACAATGTCCGAACTTCATTGGAATTAATTGGCTTTGTCCAAAAAGAAAAAAAAAAATGTTTTGTGTAAAAATAGTCCCAGCTCTTAAAAAAAATGCAAGAAAAGAAGAGCAGATTGTGGTCAGTTGCCGCTTAAAATGAGCTCGATCTCCTCCAGCCTTTTCAAAGCGGCAGCACGCTTCTGCTCGATGTCGCTTGTCTGCTCGGCGGATTTGGCCGCAGTCCGTCTGTCGGGCTGGCCGGCGTCCAGCTCTGATTGATCAGGTTCTGCGGAGGATTTCCTCGCATTCTTCTCGCCTCGGGGACTCCGCCTTTCCTCCTCCGCCGTTGTCGGCTTTTCCTCCTCCGCTAGGGGCTGCCCGGCCGCGCTCATAGCCGCCATCTTGCCCCTGACGATGTTCAGATGGCGCCGGACGTACTCCTCGTGCGGCGCCAGTGCCAGCGTCTCCTCCAGGCAACGCTCAGCCCGGGGCAGGTCACGCTCCTCAAAGTAGACCACACAGAGGTTGTGTTTGCCCTGCACGTTGCCCGGGTCCATCTGCAGAATGCGCTGGAAGCAGGCCTTGGCGCCAGCCGTGTCCTTCTTGTGGTTCATGAGGATGTCGCCTTTGAGGATTAGGCCCTTGATGTGCTCCGGATGGTGGTGCAGCAGTTCATCCAGCACGGGTAGCGCCTCCACCTCGCGGCGCGACTGCGAGTAGAGCAGCGCCAAGTTGAAGAGTGCCGAGCGGAAGCCCGACTGCAGCGCGATGGCCTTGTGCATCCAGCGCTCCGCCGCCACATTTTCCTCGGCGTCCATGGCGAGCATGCCCAAGTTGAAGTAGCCATTTGCGTCATCCGGCTCCTCCTCCACGTAAGCCAGGAAGCGGCGGTTGGCCTCGGGCCAGAACTTGGGTTCACCTGATGAGCGGGGGGTGGGAGGGAGGAAAAGGAGGCATTGGCCATAGTGTTATGCTGTGCGACGTTAACTTCCGAGTGACCCGACTTGAAAAGTTTGAGTTATGAGCTGTCGCTTGGTGGATTTTGTGCTTTGTGCTGTGAGCACACAAGCATCAAAACACTCGTGCTCAAGTTAAGAGGGAGGGAGATAGAAAAGGAAAGCCACAAGTGTTGTGAAGTGTCACAATAACATTTTGAGTTCAAAAACTATATGTGCTTCAAGGCACCTCGATACTGAAACCATGCCAAAAAATAAAAAGTAAAAAAATGTTTTTAAAAAACGTAACCAAAAAAAAAAACAAAACAAAAAAAAAAAAACTGTAAAACGCTATGGAATCATAGCTGGCAGCTAAATAACTTATTTTGTATTAATTCTGAAAATGAAAAGGATAGTAATGTGAATACTTTTGATAAAATCATATTTGGAATATTTTTTAATACTGTAGAATAAAAGATGAACCTTTTTTACAGGCATATGAAAAAATTACGACCCCTTTGAACAAAATATTTGTCCAAGATAAATCTTGTTTTTATTTATTTCTGGAAATAAAAGTGATTTAACTGTATTTAGACAAATATATATATATATGTATATATATATACATATATATATGTATATATATATATATATATACATATATATATATTCCCCCCCCCACCATAAACAAAAAATATGAACAAAAATGTGCATTTTAAATCACTTGCAGACTGAGGGATTAGTATCGTTGAGATTTGTGACTGCATATGAAATTGACCAAATTCGGCCATAGAAGGTTTGGGGCTTGATAGCAGCGATGTGATTTCAATGACATTTTTTTCCATGTCAAACCAAATGTGTTTAGTTCACAGCAATGAAAGTAATAATAATAAGAAGAAGAAGAAAAAGAAGAAGAAGAAGAACTAAATAAATCAAAACAAAAAAACACATTGTGACATGATTTCTGAAAGGGAGTGTGTGTGTGTATGTGTGTGTGTGTGTGTGTGTGTGTGTGTGTGTGTGTGTGTGTGTCTTTTCTTCCATAAGTTATGTCACAACTAGTTTGTACAAATAAAGGCTTCTCCTATCTGTAGTGGAGTAAATCATCAGCCCTCAGAAGCAGATCTGGCCAAGAATGAGCGTGAGAAAGCCATTTTCAGTGAGCTACTAAAACGTGACGAGTACGCCAGCAACCTTACACTGAACTTCCATTTGTCATGCGACTTGTCATCCAAGGTAGCGAGCGCTAAACAATGCTAACAATAGGCCGGTTGACCGCGTTCCAATTGTAGTTATGAGTGTTCTGACAAACATGCAAAGGAAAGGAACCCTTCCAGAAGGTGTTCAATTTATTTGCAGCATGCAAATGTTTCGGATGGACAAAAGTAGCACTCTGGAGGAATGTCTTCTCCCTCCCGAGAGAAAAAAACAACACGAGCTGTCTTTCACAAAAAGTTTTTTTTTTAAATAAGACATTCATAAAAAAAATTTTAAAAATAATAAAAATCCAAGAAAAAGTATTTTTGAGAAAACAAGTCATTGCCATTTTTACAAAGAATATGTTAAAGTATTTTTTAAAAGGAGAAAATCCCCCAAAAAGGTAAGGAGAAAAAAACAAATATTTTTGCATTATAATTTTTCTTTCTTTTTTCTTTTTTTAACCAAAGAAACATGATGTTTTTTTGTTAATGTTTTGATTTTGTCTTGGATAAAAATCTTTTCACAAGTGACTTTTCTAGTAAAGAAAGAGGTCAGTCTTACAAGGTCGCATCATTCCTTAAAAAGCATTTTTAGGAGAAAAGTCATTTTGTATGAAGTGTTTTTTTTTCCCCTTGCCTTGTGAAAATCAAGTGGTATTTTCTTTGGAGACAACACCCAAGTCAACTTATGAGGAAAAGTGCTAAATCATTGAGGGAAAAAAATCAAATGTCTGAATGTTCAAGAATAAAGCCATCCTGTCTGTATTAATGTTCTGTCAGAGAGGGTAAGATGCAGCTGTTTAAGTGACAGCTTTGACGGATGAGTGTGCAAACTGCAGGTGAGAGTGGCGGCGAGAAAAAAAATCAAGCCTTTCATCTTCATGACTCATCCCCCTTTGTTGCAGCTGCTTGAATACAATTCAACAGTCATAATCCTTCCTTAGCCTGTGTAAGCCTACATTAGTCCGCCACCGCTGTACAATGCAGTACAGTTTACAGAAAGCACTGCCATTCAAAGGGCTTAAAGAGCAATCAATGTTATTTTTCTATTTTTTTATGCGTGTGTCAGTCAAACGAGAAAAGCCAGAGATCTGACGGTGCACCCAGAGTTCATTCGCGCTCGTTCCGCATTATTACTGTCAACGCCCTGATCGCCTTGGCAGGCCACAGGTGGTGCCGCCTGCTGGTTTTTCTGGTATGGAAGCATGGTTTGGAGGGAAAATACTACAACTACTTTTTTCTGCTGTATGGACGTTGTCATATGGGCCTCTCGTGCTGTTATTAAAGGACTCCGGCAAAGCTCAGTTTAGTTATTTGTTTATGTTTGAAGTGCCTGTCAGCAGCTGAATAGTCAGAAAAAATATGGATGGTTGCAGAAAAAAAAAAAGTAACCAGGAGCAGGAACCAGTCTATTATACTGTATATGTGTGTGTGTGTGTGTGTGTGTGTGTGTGTGTGTGTATCATATACATAGATAGATAGATACACACACAAACACAAAATTGATATCCTTACAAGATTAAAGATTGTTTTCAAGACACTTGTTAAAATAATCAGTTTACTTTTTCTATTTAAATTGTAACTTGACTCTCATAACCTGTAACTTCGATCTCATGGGGGTTTTTTCCTACAAAATAAGACAGATAATGATTTTTCAAATGAAGATATTATTTCCACGAGATTACGTGAGCACCAAGGAACCCAATGGAAATAAGCCTACGACTGTACGGAGCCATTTCTTTTTCATGCAAGACATGTATAGGAAAGTGTTGTTGAACAAACTAAACTACACTCAACTAAACTAGTAAAATCCATTGAGGCATAGGCATTGGTGTGGTACCGGGAAATAAAAGAAAAGCTCTCACCTGACTCCTGCATGAGGAGAGCGGAATTGAAGAGCGCCAGCTTGTGGCGTGGGCTGAGTTGCAGCGCCTGCTCAAAGTTGCGCAGCGCCTCTGACGGCTCCTTCATCTCGATGTGCACAATGGCCAGGTTGTACCACAGGTCGGCGTTGGCTCGGTCCAGCTCCAGCGCGCGCAAGTATGCGTCGCGTGCCTCGGTCAGCTTGTTCATTTTCAACAGCAGCTCCCCTCTGCCGGCAAACGCATCACACACATTTCATTCGCAACAACAAATAAAAAAAAAAAAACAAAAACTTTTTTTTTCCTCTGAAAGTTGAATTTGTCAAAAAGAAAAAAAGTGCATTATTTTTCAATCTTACAGGAATAAAGTTATATATTTCTAAGGGTTTTTTTTTTGTTTTGTTTTTTTTAAAGAAAGTCTTTTTTCGGGCAATCGCTTTCTGGAGGAAATGAGGTCATTTTAACTTTAGCAGAAAGTCCTGTTCCGAGAGAGAAAACAATGAACAAGAACTAAGACAAACATTTCCAAGAACTTGTTGACATCTTTTTTAAGGGGAAGAAAAACATTTGGGGTGAACTCCAATTAAAGAAAGACAAATCTACACCTCCATCAAACAGACACCACCACTGTTTGACGCAGTTTTGTTCCATAACAACATTTGAGTAGAAGAAAATGGAGGCCACCCCATCTGCAAAGACTTGCCTGCTTATGTACGCTTGCTTGAAGTCAGGCCTCATACTGATGGCCTGTCGATAAAGCTGGTCGGCTTCCTCCAGCCGGGACTCGTTTGCACGAATCAGATTGGCCAAGTTAATGTAGACGTTGAGATGGTTGGGGGCCACGCGCGTGGCATACTTCTTACCGGGAATAATCTACCGAGACAAGCACAGTCAAAGTTTCAGTCAAGTTACGTGACGAGCTAGGCTTACCTTCAGCTCGCTTACCTGCGGCATGAGGGACTTGGCAACTAAATAGGCATCTTCAGCCTCTTTGGCCTTGTTCAAGTTCTTGTAGGTTCTCCCGACGTTCATGTGGGCGCCAATGTCATCTGGGATGGTCAGGATAAATTCACATTAAATTGGAGAGGAAATTTCTTGGAATAATTCGCAAGGATTGAAATCGGACTTCTTTCCAAATGTGAATACAAATCTGACACTGTAGATGAGCCTCCCAATGCGAGTGCAGGAGAAACACACAGATGGGTTCAAAATACACAACCTGCTCACGCGTACACACTGGCGTCTGCTCAAGCAGCATCAAAAACATAAATGAATGAATGAATGAATGAATGATACACAATTGGAGTTTGCATATTCTACCCGTGCCTGCGTGGCTTTTCTCCGGGTACTCCGGTTTCCTCCCACATTCCAAAAACATGCATGGTAGGTTAGTGGAACATACTCAAATGGCCCTTGGTGTGATTGCGGATGTGAATGGTTGTTGGTCTATGTCTGCCGTGCGATTGGCTGGCAACCAGTTCAGGTTGCACTCCGCCTACTGTCTAAAGACACCTAGGATAGGCTGCAGCACATCGGCGACACTCATGAGGATAAGCGGCTCGGATTAATGGATGGATGGTCAGTGAACATCAAAGAAAAGAAACTGAGGCACTAAATCAGAATAGGGCCGCTGCTTTATAAAGCCAACCAACGAAGAGCGCCCTGAAACCCCACGATACCAGTTTTGATACAGGACATCATGTCTATAATGTTGGGGTTCCAAGGACTTATGATCAAAACTGAAGAGGAAGTCAACTGTTTTGGTTTGATGCAGCCCTTTTGGGTGAATTAACTCATTCATGGCCAGGCAGGAGGCCGAGGGGAAGACCAAATAGGTTCGTGTCAGCTCTGAAGGTAAGGTTTATGGATGTCGTGAAAGAGGACATGAAGGTAGCTGGTGTGAGAGAAGAGGATGCACAAAACAGGGTTAGATGGAGGCAACTAATTCGCTGTGGCGACCCCTGCAGGGAAAAGCCGAAAGGAAAAGAAGAAGAAGAAGAAGAATGGCCCCTGGACAAAAAGTTTCACCCATCAACACAATATTGGGTGCACATGTCTATCATAACAGGAGATGAAAAAATTTCAAGGACTTGTACCTGAAACAGGAAGTGGGCTATTTTTGTTTGGAGCTGCTCATCGTGGCGAATTCAAGGGACGTGAAATAAATGGACCCAATTGGAGACAAGTACCCTACACAGATGAATACTGATGGTTTTTTTTTAATCCCTGGGCCTGAAACAGGAAGTGGGCTATTTTTGTTTGAAGCTGTTAATCATGGCGAAATCACGGGTCGTGAAATAAATGGACCCAGTTGGAGACAAGTACCTTACACAGATGAATACTTATGGGGTTTTTTTATTTTATTTTATCCCCACTTGTGTCAAAACAGACAGACTTACCAGGCTGCACGGAAGTGGCCTGCAGAAAATAGCGCAGCGCTCTGCCATAATCGTTCTGGTTCTCCAGCGCGTGGCCGACATTGTTCCACAGCTTGGCGTTGTTCTTATTCACCTGCGAAAACCGCCGCCCAAAAACAAAACACTTTGCTCAATAAAGAAGCGAGGCGGCATTGTCGCCCTCCCTCCTCACCTTCAGAGCTGACATGAACAAAGTATATTCCGACTCCCAATCCCAGTTCCTGTTGAAGGTCTTCACTGCGTGCGTTGTCAGCAGCACGCCGATCATCAGCCAGGAAATTTTCTTCAGGTACCTTCATAATAAGGAATATAAGTCGTGATTAATGAGGGGAAGCTTCCCTTCTGCTCAAGGTATAAATGACATTAACAACAAGCATGTTTTTCGAATACGGGGAAGATGGGAAGAAGCCAGAATACCTGTACAAAAGCCACATAAGCACCAGGAGGAGCCGGAGCTTCGAACCAAAAGCATACAACCAGTGTATTCTGTGCGACCTCTCAGTTAGTTTCCCAGAGGGATATATATATTTTAAAAAGCTTTTATAATGTTTTTTCTTTCATGGAAATGTTCCACGTACAAGAGAAAAGTGCACTATTATCTGGAATACAGTAGGTCCGCTTTCCAAACCAGATCAGGCAATTTGAGGTTTCCTTGCCACGGCTCTTGCTCCCTTCATTCCAGACAACAGAGGACTTAAATGATGGAATGCACTTCAAATTAGGGGAAAAAAGTTAAATATGGTCAGCTCAATGTCTTTCTTTCAAGTCATTTGATCACGTCCGCCACGCTCCACATGTGCTAAAAGCTCACATGCTCTGTATGACCTTTCCGAATATAGATATGGATTATACAGCGCCATGAAAAAGTGTTTGTCCCGTTTTGTTCTCTATTTACAGGGAAGGGTCCGAGAGGATCTTTTCGGATGGCCTGTCACGATGGATAAACTCATCAATCTTTGCGAAGATTGAAGGAACTAAAGGAGCATGACTTTTTTGGGGGGGTTTAAAAAAAAAAAAAAGCACTTTCAGAGCAAAACGACCGATAGTCTTCATGTCGCAACTTCATGCAGCGTCTCTGCTCACCCTTTGTGCGAGACGACCTTGAATCCGTGCGCTACCAGCACGCAGAAACCCATGCTGGGGACATACAGGACCCTCTCAGCCACGACAAACCCCACCGGGAAGAAAAGGTTGGATGCAGGAATGAAGGGCAGGACGATCAGAGACAATGCCTGGAAGGAGACAGGAGAGGATGTCTGAAAAAAAGGGCTGCTTCGTTCAATGAGGCACGCTATCGATGTATTTTGCTGTATTTTGATGCTCCATCTCTTGATTGAAACATGATGCAACATTTACAAAATAAGCGCTTTGCGCATCCGAGTCCCCACTAAAGGTTGTCTTTTGCTCTTATTTGTGGTCTGTAAAAATGTCACGGCTTGTTGCGCAATACAAGTTTGATTTCATTTCAGCATGCCTCCAAAAAAATAACCCATTTATGTAACCAGCTAAGGTGAAACACGAGGGCTCGACTGCGGATGCGGGAGAAATGTTTTTGGGATGCGTCAATGTGATGATGTTGAGAGGACCGGAGAATAAAAGATACGTTAAAGGGATTGTCACCAAGAAATAAGGTTCACAGAGTACAAAAACTAAAACATTTCGCTGCTCCGAGGGCACACAGAACAAACACTATGATGCAAGCAAGTGAGCCCAAGTGGAACTCCAGTCGTCGCTAAAGAATGTGTTTGCTCTTCATGCAAATCATCTTTAAAATTAAACTTGGCGGAAGAAAACAAAACTAAACAAAACAAAAAAAAGACAAAAAAAAAAAAAACACAATCCCCATACAATGTGCGAATGAATTCGCCTCACCATGACGACCGTCTTAGCAGAGCTGCGTGAGCAGGTGATGCTGCGGTACGCCAGCAGGCCCAGGAGGACGTAGAAGAGCAGCGTGGCCAGGTTGCGCTGGTCCAGCGCAGACTCCACCAAGGGAATGGTGCCCATGGTCCAGTCGCAGCACAACTCGGACGGGTTGAGCAACAACCACGCGTTGACGGGCAGCAGGTAGTTGAAGGTCAGCTGGCGGGTTGGCGTCGGACTGACGGCTGCCGGGTTGTCAAATCTGAAAAAGATGCGCGTGTTGTGAGCCCGTTTCAGACAAAGATCCTGAAAACTATCCTGCATCAGAAGACACCCAAGTGAATTTGACACACAACGCAGCAAAGCAGGAAATTGACACATTTTTGTTCATCTTTCACTCTGTGATGCGACATCCCGCAACAAGTACTGCCTTAATTCTTCTCTTTAAAAACAGACATCCAAAATTTTAACATTAAAAAAAAAAATCTAACTTTTATCCCATTGTGACAGAGAGCCCAGCTAAGTCAAAATTTGACAAGCAGTCATTTTAGGGTCTTGCTGCCAATGTTAAAGCACATAGACTGGAAAGATTGGCGTTTTCATTAGGTGCATGTGGGCAAAGCATGGCAGGCAAATTTGACGACTTGCCAGAAGACGGGAACCCACATGTGACTCTACCAGCCTCTAAGAACGTGTTTTGGCGACCGCTGCGTTTATCCTAATCCTGCCCTCTTAACTCAAGTTCCTGTGTTATGGCTCGCACGGCTTATTCCGGGAATTCTAGCCCCCCGAGAAGCCAAAGACAAGTTTGAGGATTATAGGCTTAGCACTTGTGGGGCTAATTGTTGAGGAATTTTATCTGTGAGATGGCCGGTTCGATGGCTGGCAAAGGAGCAGACAAACTTTTGAATCATCAACAAGATAGGACAGACGGGGAGGCAGCAACATGAGGGATGACATTTAAGACGATTACAAAGAACCACTTCCCAAAGTTGTTGCTGTGGTACGTGCCGTGTTTTCGTTGCAGAATGAAGAGTCGTGGGGAGCCCTTCATTCTTTCATCCGCATACCGAACAACGCGAGGGAACCGAACAATTTGCACACAAATTACAGTCTGCAACTTACATTCACCCACCTGTTGATTACTTGGCACATATACCAACTCATTGCAGTCGAAGAACAGCGGCCAGCGATGTTCTTATTAGAATTTTTGTTTTATTTTTTTTTTTTAATATGTATCTGCCGAGGTCACTCACAGAGGCATGTCACAATAACGGTCTTGAGAACAATATAACTATCATGATAAACAATAGCGATGTTTTTTTTTATGCTACTGCTGTTGTAATAGAGCATCTTAAATGGGACTAGATCCTTTTTTTAAAGAATAAATAACTTAATTCTCAAGAACATTGGCATGGAAATGGAGAACAAAAAAAATATCTTAGATCAAAAATATGGAAGTATAACAGACCAAGGCTCTGTTTTCAAAAATTGACCTTGGGCCATTGTCAAAGACTGGGAAGCATTTTAAAACGGCACACGCGAGCTATGATAGTGATGTTTCTGCACTTCACACGCTACAAAAGTGCATACCTACCTCCCTGTGTTAGATCTCCCACAAAGCAGGCGGCGATTTTCTTTTCATAACTCAGTCTTGTCTTGTATCCAGCTTATTTTTCAGTTTTGTCCATGTTAGGGTACGTTATGGCTGTTGCTCATCATGGCATGCGCATGTGTGCATGTGTATATGCGTGCGAAAGTGTTTTTGCGCGCATGTGCGGCAATGGGTTGATTGCAGGTTGGCTGCTTGAAAAGTCGCTCTTGGGTCAAAAAAGGTCGGGCACCCCTGACTTACAATACAGATAATATCCCATTTAATAACGTGGAGACCAGCGGCTATTAGTCCGAAGCAGCTAATGTCTTCGTTTTTATGGCTAAATTTAGTTGCGGCTTTTGATCATGCGTGGTTTATAGTCAGGAAATTACAGTGCTCAGGCTCACAAATTGGTGCCAGTCTGGAGTCCTATAATGTGAAACATGCCTTGGCTCAAAAAGAATGCAAAACACCGAGTTTAGAGTACAGCTTACCTGGTGAAGACGGGTAACTGCGACTGGATGACCTGGACACGCACTATGACGAGCAGCAGCGTGCTGATGACCAGCACGATGAGCTTCAGCAACATCTGGAGGACGGCATACGGGAAGGCGCCCTTACCCCGTAAAGCTTGCCTCAGCGTGTCCAGCAGCACCGGTAAGGTGAACTGGGAGAGCAGAGTTCATTTTGGGTTTTAAAAAATGGCTTTGTTGCACCCTCTACACATTTTTTAACAAATCAGCCCTGGTTGAACATTTCGCCATGATCTTCCAAAAGGTGGAGGAACATGTCACAGCCCAAGACCTACAAAAATGTCTCTGGAGACCTCCACTAAACTCAAAAGGAAGTCGGCCATTTTTAATTTCCTTTCAAATTTTGCCTCATTTTTGGCCTTTAATAGAAGTTCTATTTTATCAAAATAGCTTTTAATCCAATTGCAAATCTAATGTACCAGATTCCCAACGAGCCAGTACCCCAATGTTGCCAGTGCTGCGAGAGCCCTTTATATCCAGTAATTGAATTTCATTAAAAAAAAAAAAGTACTTTAAAATGTCATTAAATAAATACTGATACCATAAAAATCTATTAAGTCAATAAATATGCAACTGATAAAATGCTCCAATTCATTTTTTTAAAAGTTGGACAGATTACAAAAAAAAAAATCCAAAATAGGAATAACATTTCTATTTCGGTAATAAAAATGTACTTAATGGCTTTCACACACAAAATCCATCTCCATAGGAACTTGATTGATGGTCGATGGGTCCCTTACCCCTTGTGCCACAAACACCTCGTACACGCAGCAGATGCCGACGACGGTAATTCCCTGCTCTTTGCACAGTGTCGCTGCCGCCACCAGCGCAACGGTCAGAGCGATGGGAGCCCACACTAAACGCCAAGAATACACAACAAGGTTGGAAGGAAGTGAGCACTGAGCAAAGACGTAGACTACTGTAATAGGCGCCGACTGGCCAGCTGCCACGCGTGCTGTCCAAGTCCGTGGTTTGGGTCTGAGAATGATAAACTTCTGATCTGGGATTTTTTTTTTTTTTGGATTTCTATAATGTAGCAAGATTATTACCGGTACATAAACGCACCAAATTAACTGATCATAGCCAAGATACAGTAGACATAATCTGCCTGTTTTGACATTGCAGCTTCTGGGCCTTTACATTTCACAGAACTTTCTGACAACAATTGATTTAACATTCTCCTAAATTGAGTTACGACCTTGGTCACAGAACAAATTAATCTCCTCGGACAATGTACCACGGAATTTAACAGTGGCAAGTGTCACACTAATGTAAAAGCGTGTCAACTGCTGTAGGCTATGTTATTTTAAGAAAAAAATAAAAATTAAAAAATCATATGAAAACCTCTCGCCCTTTGAAGACACCTCATGACAGATGTGTTATAACGCGGGAACAGAAAGAAAAAAGAAAAAGAAAAAAAAACGGGAGAAAAAAAAAACCCTCACCTATGGAGTGGTCTGCGCCAGTCGATTTGGTGTAAGCCAAGAAAGCAGCTAGGAGGAAGATTGACGACAGGAGTTCAGCTCTGCCAACCACACCGGTCACCTGGTTGGAGTGGATGGGTTTAAAAAAAAAAAAAAAAAAAAACGGGAAAAAAAAAAAAACCGGGAGAAAAAAAAAACCCTCACCTATGGAGGGGTCTGCGCCAGTCGAGTTGGCGTAAGCCAAGAAAGCAGCTAGGAGGAAGATTGACGACAGGAGTTCAGCTCTGCCAACCACACCGGTCACCTGGTTGGAGGGGATGGGTTTAAAAAAAAAAAAAAACGGGAAAAAAAAAAAAACCGGGAGAAAAAAAAAACCCTCACCTATGGAGGGGTCTGCGCCAGTCGAGTTGGCGTAAGCCAAGAAAGCAGCTAGGAGGAAGATTGACGACAGGAGTTCAGCTCTGCCAACCACACCGGTCACCTGGTTGGAGGGGATGGGTTTAAAAAAAAAAAAAAATTAAACATGAACACACATTAAATAAAAATCACAAGAGGCAAAATTTAGTCATATTAGTTTTTGTGTTGGTACAGTGACAACAATCTGTAGAACTATTTTCCCAAAGTAAGTTAGCCTGCGGGGGGGCAGGCCAGCCCCAACCGGGTGCCAGTCAGAAGCCAGGATATTTCAGGAAGGTTGGATTTGGAAGTCCCATCCAAAACGGATGCCAAAACAGTGGATGTAAGAAGTCTTAATTAAACATTTGGAAAAGGACCATCCAACATGAGGGAGGAGTGAGTCTCAGATAAGACTTCACACACCTGCATTGCGGCTTTCTGCAATTCCCCTTCACACGGGGAACCTCCCACCTTTTCGAACCATTCTACATCTGTACCGCTCCAACAGAAAAGCGACATGGGAAAACGGTTGAAAATGATCATGCTTTTTTTACAGCCTGTGTGAAAGCCTCTTTCACACAGATCCCGCCAAATTTCAACAAAACGTGGCAAGAGGACTGAGTGCCGAGTGTCAAACTTCACGCCTAATTTCCCGGCTATTTCCTTTCACAGGAGCAACACATGTTGCCTTCGGCCCCTTGTTCCATTCCTTGTACCTTTCACGTAGGCACAGCCATGTGTTAATAAGATGACTTGGACTGGCAGTTTGAAAGGATGGGCTTCAAAGCTGCCTGTTTGGGCAAACACACGTTGGCTATTAAAAAATAAAAAAACAAAACGTAATATAAAAGGAATGCTTCACTTAGGGGGGTAGACTGGAAAAAAAAATCCCCACATGAAATATGACGATAAGAAATATGAAAACAGCTCTTCAGGGCTGCTTCATGAGACGCCATGTGGACACATCAAAGCCTCCGGGGTGAGTCACAAGACACCTCTTGTTAAGGGTGAAGCAAGCACACACGAAAAACAAATATGAGGGACACCCTGTCTGACAACAAGGTGGGACATTTGCACAAACTTTTAGTGCCCTCATGTGGACGTAACAATGTGCAGAAGGGGACACATGACATGAAAAATGACAAAGATTCCATGCTTTTTAAGACAGTGGAAATGGTCCTAAAAGGCCTGGGAAAATGTGTTCTTGGACAGACATTTTTGTGACTTCGTACTTGGTTTCAGTCCATTTTCTCTCCTAAAAATGGCAAGATTCAAAGCAAGTTTTCCCTTTTGTTTTGTCAACAACCTTTTCAAAAGAGAGAGCTACGTCTTGAGGATTGATCGACGCAACACTTGAAATGTGTTCAAATGACCTTGAACGATATATATTTAATAGTCAATGAAATTCAGCAATGAAAAGGCACTGAGCATGTGAATGATTTCTCATATTTGATAACAAGATCAGAATCAATATGCAAGACTTTGCTTCTGTACATTTCTCATTTTGTCATATTTCTATTTTTCCGATTTGGATTCAATTGTCATTTGGTCTGCCTTGTTACTGCCAAACTCATCGAAAGCCCAATAATAAGATTGGCTGAGAAAAAAAACATATCACAGAGAATGACGCACAATGCAGCCATTGTGCATGCGCTTACCACAAGGAACAAGTCATCTTTAGAAGGTAGATGCTTAACAGTGATAACCATCTCACTGAAAGTTTGTCAAGCAAAATGGTTGGCATTGAAAGCCAGATCTTTCATTTGTCTGTGTACGCCAGTCAATGAAGCACAGGATCAATTCCGAGTCCTGGTTGCTGGGTAGTGGGGTGACAACAGACCACACAACTTTTCAGGTTAACAATCACTCTCGTGTTAAAAGGGTGAACTGAGGGCTGTAGTTTCGGAATGCTAGCAGAATTTGAGCCTTATGTTCAACCAGCTTGTAAGAAACCAAAGACAACAAACATTAAGGCAACAACATTACAGCCAAGGGCAATGGACATATAATGGAAAATGTACCATTTAAGCGCCTTGTGCGCAAATATTTGGGTTTCCAGAGTGCCTGCGCAACCATCAAGTGTGACCCTGCAGCAAGTTACCCAGCTAATAAGCTTTCGCGAAAGCTTGAACAACAGTGCAAGCAAACACAATCCATTCACAAATTGTGGCGTCAATCGCCGGGCGGTGTCTCGCAGTCTTAGTACAACCGTGTTCGCCATTGCTTCCCCGCCGCTCGCAACTTCGCTTCGGCCGTTTCTGTCCAATACCATGGCAACCAAGCACAACAATAAAAGGGGACTTTTGTGAGGCGTCCCGTCAATTTTGGAGAAATTTTAAGACTTTTAAGTGCATGTTATGGTCGTGAAAATAAAGTAGGTCAGGTAAATTCAGGAATCATGAACCGCGACAAAGCAGGAGAGGATACAATAACTAACATGATCACAGTGATCGACATATGAAGCTTCATGAAGCAATTGTGAGTTTAGACTCCTCTAGATAGGACACTTGGTTTAAAAATGCTGTGGAAAGAATGCATTTCAATTGCAGTAACATTTGCCTTGAAACCAAGAGCACCATCTAGAGTAAGACAAAATATCACAAGTGCTTCATGAAAAATGGGAGCGCAGAGAACCACTCACCGCTTCTGTGTGGATGGGGTGCACGGCAAATAGCAGCGCCGCCACCAGGCCGGAGGTGCGGTCCAGGAAGAGGCGGCACACACGCAGGAAAAGCAGGCAGGTTGCGGCATGTAGGGCAACATTAAGCAGGTGGTAGGAGGCTGGGCTCAGCTCGCTCAGCAGATAGTTGAGGCGGAAGGTGAGCACCGTAAGCGGCCGGTAGGACTTGTGGCTACGTTCCTGGAATGGGAGTAAGAAAGACGGGATTCATTTTTGTGTCATTTACATTTCAACAAATCAAAGTATCACTCTGCAAAAACTGAGACTCAGGTGCCTTCATAGGCAGAGTACTTTTGTTTTAATTTACCTTCATGTCAGGTTGGGTCATATAGGCTGAAAGACAATATCATTTTTTTTTCTCACCAAAATCCAATTTCTGGTTTGAATTGATTTTCCCCTACTTCGCTTCCAGATAAAGCCACGGACAATGACATTTTCGGTCAGAGAACAGGTGGAAGCTGACGTACCTCTGCCATAGGCGTACCCCAAAAGTCATTGAGAAAGAGATTCTTCAATGACGTGGTGGGCCGCAGGTCCTTGTTGTCGAGGATGGCCGAGACATCGTCAAACACGAAGCCGCACGACAGGCTGTTCCAGTAGCACGCCAACACCAGGCCAGTAAGCAGCAGCGCCTCTTTCCACGACACGACAGCCATTGTGCAGCGATGCCGTCATGGATCGCTGTGCAAGAAAAAAAAGGTGATTTAGGATGGATGGTTAATCAATTTTAGCAATTATTTTGAGTTTAGTGTTCATTTTTCTTCAATGCAAATTTTTTTGTGGCTTGTAGACCACTGCTTGCACTCACAACATGGCTGCGAAAATAGGAACTAGCTTAAAAAAAGTGCAATCAGTGTTGCAAACTTAGTGACCATGACCAACTTTACATTCCTGCTGAGGAACAAAAAACACAAGCTGAACCATTTTAACATTGTTTTGTATATGAATAGAAAGCAGGCCTCAGGTAACGACTGATTGTGGCCCACTTGTTTTCTGGGTTTGGACGTTCGCAAGTTGAGTCATTTTCAGTCTCCTGTAAGTGGCAAATTGGCCACTCAAGATGGATAAGAATGGGTGGCTTTTTTTCTGCTTAACTTATATTCCACGAACACAACATTTGGAATGTAGAGGAAGCCGAAAGTAGATGGAGAAACCCCAAGCCAGCACATGGATCCCAGAATCAAACCCAGAACCTCAAAACTGTAGCAGCAGCCTCATCAATAATAAAGACAGCAAAAACAGTACACGCAGAATTTGGGCACATCTTCCTCAAAATCAATATATTGTTAGGATAGTCAAGTTTTAAAACCACTATTTGGAGTTGTCAGTCGTGTCATGCAACCGGAAACCTAACAGTTGACTTCAAACCCAAAAGCAGGGTGTAACTACCGCTATTGTGGACCCCTTCGGACAGGTTTGGGTTTTAGATTAGGTTTTCCAACCAACCATATTTTCATCGCACATTCTGTCTTGCTAATTTTTCACAAAAAGCAGTTTAATGTCAACTAGCCAACAACAGCTCGAATGAGTTAATAGTTTCGCAGCTAATAGTAGTTAGCCGCGAAGCACGAGAAGTAGCGAGCTGTGATCCTGTAAAGTTCCATCATAAGTAGCAATTCGTGTCAACACGTACCGTGTTCTCTAGAGGATAGGGATGCAGTGTAAAACGTGAAGGGAAACGACAAAAATTTGCTGAATGGAAACAAACAACGACAAAAGTGGGTACACGATCCAGCAAGCAGTATTCAAGTTATGCGCACGCGCCAGCAAGAATCGGTTTGACACGATAACTTCCGGGGCAGAGGTGACAAGAAAAAAAATATTGAGTGTTGTTCGCTTAGGTAGATTAAAATCGTTGAGAAAATCTAAGAGCTCGTGCTTCATATATTTTTACAAATTAATTTGTATTTTATAAATAAAATAACAAAATAAAAACATCGATACTCCCAACCATTAGATGGCGTTGTACAGCAAAGAGAAATAAGTGCCGAAGAAGAAAATCAACACCATGAATAAAATGTTACCGCGTTACTTATGTTTTTTTTTCATTCAATGAAATATGGATTTTGTTTAAGCACTGACGGGTTTACTGGAACTTTGGACACGACAACGGAGAGGTAATTGATGTCACTCTTGGAGAACGTGTGACAATGGAGTTCGAAAAGAATAAACAGTCGTCTGCAAAATAGAGAGACTTCGTTTTTCTCGGTTTAATGGCATTGTTTTGATGGCTAAAATGTTGCCAACTCCTCACGTGATACGTAGCGTAGGAATCTTTTTTTCGGAGTCCGAGTAAACATTTTGTGATGTGAATCAATTTGGATGTTTTTATGTGATATTTTGGTGTGTTTGTTGACGGCTATCAGCTGTGGGTGGCGTCGCCATGGCCGGGACTACAGTTGCTCTCGAGTGGGATGAGATGAGGAGGATCGAGCCGCGAAGCCTCCACGAATGTGACAGAGATGAATTGGACCACCTTGTCGCGCGGCTCACCTCGGTAACTATCCAACATGAATACATAGTTAGCCCAAAATAGATATACACTTCTTTTCAAGTTTTTTTCGTGTATCCAAATTTCCTTCCTTCCACCCCCATTTTATTTAACATCTTTCACTCCCTTTCTTAGAATTACTTTTCTGCCTTTGTTTGGTACTTGTATACAGTAATACTTTATGTAATTTAAAAAGTGTGCACTGAATTTTGCTCCATCATATTTGCAGTACAGAATAAAAACGTATCACTGAAACATCTGCTGTTGATATTATTCCACTTTGGCTCGCTGATATTTCACATATGATGACCAGCCCTACTCACGGAGTATCTCCTGCAACTTTAAATCACATGGACATGTCACAAGGAGTCCATTTTCCCACAGTGTAAATGCTAAATGTGTCTTTGAAGGTGCATAAAACAATAGTGTGCATCAAAATATGACGTGAGCGCTCAGTCCAGGGAGCATCAAAGGATTAACTGCTATGCTAGTGAAACACATAATCCAAAAGGCGGACCGGTTATGGGGTGGCAATACAAGTTGAGAATTTACTGCAAGTTGGGAAAAACATTCATCCTCCGGATATGGTGATTTTCTTTGGAACATTGACCTTTTTTTTATCAACATCACAAGACCTCACAAGATTAAAATTGGCCACAAAAGACTTGTGGGCGACGACTATTTTATTCTCGATTATTTGCTATGGTAAACATTTGTACCCACGAAGAGGATAAATTCTGTTTAAACTTGTGTGGCTCAACATTTTGCGATGGCCCTGGTGTGACCCTGCAACAGATAATTAGTTTCCATTAGGAGTGCAGTAATTTTTAATCAACAACTAATTGACAACGAAATTCATCGCTAATGATTTTTGATCATTGATTCATCATTTCAAGACCTTGTTTCATTTAAATTTGTCCAAATCCTCAGAATTTCTGCCTCTCAACAGTAAATGTGCTGAGATTGCTGTCGTCATCCATGAAAGCAGGCTTAACTTTCTCTTGAATCAAAATTTACAAAACATCTGCCCTTTGGAAAACAATGGTCAAATATTTTTCTACTTTCTGACATGTTATGGACCAACCCAGGAACTTTTATCCTGATTAATATGTTTGACAATTTTCTGTACTGTCAATTTGAATTGTCTTGTCTTTGAAGATATCGATGGAAATTGAAACGTGTCGACGACAGTTTCGTGGGTGTGCTGGAGCCTATCCCAGCTGTAGGCGGGGTGCAGCTTGAACTGGTTGCCAGCCAATCGCAGGGCACACATAGACAAACACTCACAAGCACATGTAGGGACCACTGAGGCGCGCTCAACCTCCCATGCATGTTTTTGGAATGTGGGAGGAAGCCGGAGTACCCGGAGAAAACCCACGCAGGCATGGGTAGAACATGAAATTTCCACACAGGAAAGCCGGGGGGCCCCGAGTCGAACCCTGGACCTCAATATTGTGACGCAAAAGTGCTAACCAGTCATCACCCTGCCGCAGACAGATTAATCCATTATTGAAATAATCATTAGATGCAGCCCTAGTTTCAATTATTTTACAATGGAACAAAACTCCTGCGTCTGACTTTGGCACTGCCTCTATGAAGGATGTCTGCATGGAGCAGTACAACTGCTTGATAACTGAAATATAAAGCCCTGGAAAGCCTGAGTGGTGTTCGCGTGCGTTCGTGCGTGCATGAGTAAGAGAGATTTCTATTCCACAAACATCTGCGTTTGTTTTTTTTTTTTTTTTCCTAAGGTGTTATCATCCCAGAATACGGTCATAAATATTTCACTGAAACTCGCCGCAGCAGTGAAGATAAAAATGATGCACATCAAGCGGAAAACTTATTATCCAAGATGGGCGCTCACGCAGTGATGCCACACAGCGTCAAACGAAGTGAAAAACCAAGACTTAACGGGCTGACAATAAATACTGTGGTACAAGTCGTAAATACTTTTCGACCACCACTTCAGGGAAAAGTCGTTATTCAAGCAATGTCTTTTTTTTTTTTTTTTTAATGTGTGGCCAAAGTCTTTGGGCGGGTCCTCTTGAGCTTTTCTTATTTGTCATCTGAATATTCATACTGGTACTCATTCTCTCACACGAGCTATTCCACAGCTGTGAGACAAAACAAGAAAACCAGCTGATGAAAGAAAGGCTCAAAGTACTGAATGTCACTCAAATGTTTTTGCTGTTCACCGCTCAGTCACATTTAGGGTCATAATAAAAGTAAAATAAGTTTAAAGTCCCAACTATTTACAGGCAGCTTGTAAAGAGTTGGGGGAAAATCTGTATGTGAAAGGGACAATTCTCAGTCCTCATTTGATGTCGTTCTTATGAGGCGCGTATGTTTTGTGTTGCAGACAGAAGAGTGGCGGGTGGAGCGTCAGACTCAGGAAGATGTAGTCCACATGCTGCGAGTGTTGCAGGCCCTGCTCAAGGTCTTTTTTTGCACCTTGATTACATACCATCACAAACTCCGTTGTTTTGAGAAATAAGCAAGAATTGTGCCTCGATTAAAACGCAATTTTGTCCTCTTCCCGCTTCAGATGAAACATCAGGAAGCATCTCTCGCTGAGCAGTTAATAGAAGAGCAAGAGAAAAATGGTTGGTACGGATAATTTGTCTGAATATGAGACGCTGCTTATGTGGATTTTTGACAGTGATGTCTGCTGTGTAGAAAATAAACTTCAAGCCAAGATATTGAGACTGGAGGAAGACCTCAAGGTAAGGCTTGGTTTATTAAAAACAATTTCAAAAAACGAAAATTCACCAGTCCACATGGACTCATGCGTCATATTTAGAGGCTTGTTTCAGATCTCTCATTATTTTCACAATATGTCATTTTCAGTTGGCCCATCACTATCGATTATTCCATCCATTCATCAATAACATTGATTTTGCATTAAAATGAGCTTAGGCAGTTTGGATTATCGATGGAGGTTTTGCAAACATGACTTTTTTTTTTTTCCTTATTACAGTTTAGGAACCGATGATCGTGGTTTATTTGGTGGTGTTCAATGACTAAACAACACCAATTAAACAGCAGTACCCAAAATGACACTGACAGGGAGTGACATTGTACTCAGCAACGTTTTTGAAACAAAGCTACTTCTTGGGTGCCGCTTAATGCAACGGGGTGCATTGTGATTGGCTGAGCACCTTAAGAGGATTACAGCTAATTCCGAGCATAGTAGCAGCCGTGCTCGTTTGGATTATGACTTTCTTCATTTGTTAAATTTTGTACAATGACTAAACAACACCAATTAAACAGCAGTACCCAAAATGACACTGACGGGGAGTGACATTGTACTCAGTAACATTTTTGAAACAAAGCAACTTCTTGGGTGCCGCTTAATGCAACGGGGTGCATTGTGATTGGCTGAGCACCTTAAGAGGATTACAGCTAATTCCGAGCATAGTAGCAGCCGTGCTCGTTTGGATTATGACTTTCTTCATTTGTTAAATTTTGTACACCATCCAACGAGTCACCTGTTTGTACTGCAAAGAAAAAGGTAATCTTGGGCTAATCTGTGTCTTCAAAATGTCTACCTAAATTATTCAGCATTCATATTCTTACCGTAATTGCCGATTCTTTTTTTTTTTTGGTCTGTTCTCAGTTCGCAGGACGCAACTGGAACAAAAGGAAAAGGAGGTGACCCATTTGAGAAGGGAGATGGGAGGAAGCAAGAAGACCATCGATGAGGTGGGTCACCGTCACACCAGAATCATTTTGTTGCTCTTTGTAGGCCAGTTGGACCCGATTCATTTGTGGGACGTTGTGCGCTAACCCAAGCCCCCGCTAACAGCTGTTGCAACGTCACATATTCAGAATGATTTTGGTGTTTGGATACTACAACATGAAATAGTGTCTTAATGTTTGTGATACAGCTGAGACCAGCTCGTGAAAAAAATAAAATAAAATGCAAAAGGAAAAGGAGGTGACCCATTTGAGGAGGGAGATGGGAGGAAGCAAGAAGACCATCGATGAGGTGGGTCACCGTCACATCAGAATCATTTTGATGCTCTTTGTAGGCCAGTCGGGCCGGATTCATTGTGCGCTAACCCAAGCCCCCGCTAACAGCTGTTGCAACGTCACACATTCAGAATGATTTTGGTGTTCGGATACTACGGCATGAAATAGTTTCCAAGTGTCTTATTGTTTGTGATACAGCTGAGACCAGCTTGTGGAAAAAAAAATGAAAAAAAAGCACCTGTAAAAGGCAATAAGCAGTAGAACTACAATCGGTGTTTGTTATGTGTGTGCTTGCTGTTTCCTCTTGCAGTTGGTCCTGCGAGCAGAAGCAGCCGAGGACGAGGTCAAGACGTTGAAAAGGGAGGTACGTAGCCGCCACACAATTGCCAAAGCTTCTCTTTTCCTCTCCTCTTCACCTTTATCTTTTCTGTTCAAATACAGCCTTACTCAAGTGTCTTGCATTTGTCATCCACATTTTTTGTTGTCACATATTTTCCCATTGTCCTCCCTGATCATCTTTGCCAAAGATAAAAAAGCTCAAGAGGAAGGTAAGACTCGTAGGTTGTACAGTAAAATTAGATTTACGGCCTCAAATTGTATCGCCAAAAACAAGGTCGTGAACATTAGAAAGCATTTGGCTTGCTTATGTCCAAGTGGTTTCGGATCCAGGGATCCTTCCTTCGGCTTCTGTACGAACCCGAAATGTTTTTCAAATTCTGCCACCAAAGCGAGTAAGCTCACAAAATCATCTCAAGTAGCCATGGTCGAAGACAGCCATGATTACCTCCAAAAACCAACATGACTCAACGTGATATTTTGAAAATTCAGCCTCTTTGACTGATAAGTATAAAATTTGGAGGCCACGTAAGTCTTAAGGAGCCCTGCCATTTTAGGAGTCATTTCCATTGGTCTTTTTTTAAATCACTTGTAGAGTATAGCAATCGTTGTAGAATATATAGAACCCTTTCTTAGTATCGAAGTGTAAATGTGGTAGATGAGTATGATTACCATTGGCGTTAAATTCATTTGTTCATTTCCTTGTGTAAGTAAAAGTAAATGTGTCCTGGACCAGAACACGCAGCTGCAGCGGGATGTTGACTTTTACCAAGGAGAGTTGGAACGGAAGGAGTCCGATGCGTCCAAAGAGGAGAATGCCGAAACTCAAAAGAAGCTCAGCTCAGCCAACCGTCAGCTTTCCCAGTGCCTGGACGACTTGCAGGTAGGCTGCAGTACTCAAGTCCAGATTCAAAATATTTTTTTGTTCTCGAGGGCTTGACTACCGAATCCTTGGCATTTGAATCGGACTTGTTTCAGACTTGGCCATTGGACTCGCAAAATATTTTAATCAACTTGACGAAGTCCAACTATGTTTTTGTTCCTGAAATGAATGTCCTCCAAAAGAAAATTGAAATAAAGTTTTTCAGGTTTTCAGAATAGCTATCTGATTGAGTAACCTGACCGCGAGCGCCAAAGCACGCAGTCTTTTGGGGTTATAAAATTCGATTTTACCAACCACTGAGAACTGGTGTTAGCCACAGACATTTTAAAGAAAAAACCTGCAGATTCTGTAAGATTAGGATTTCACACCCTGTTAGATGCTTGTGGAGGCTCTCAGTCGTACAGGAAAGTTCCATCGTAGAAAGGGTTCTGTCAGTCGTCATCTGTTTAGATAATCGTAGACAGTTGGGAAAAGGGCATATGGTTGTCAAACATAGATAGCAGTTGGGGAAGGGCATATGGTTGTCAATGTGTTAGAGGAATCTATGGGCGAAATTGTATCATGTTTAAAGTCTCATTTGATCTGGGCACGTCGAAGTATCTGGGTGCGTTATCAGCACCCCCAAATTCCTTTTCAGAAGGTGCCGGCCATTTGGGCTGGGGGCTGTTGCAGCCCACACCACAATCAACACATCAAAGCGGGTGGGCAATCAGAGGAGATCAGATCCGGTCACAAAGGGGGAGCGAGTAATTTGGGAACAGCGGTCGAACAACAAAAGACGATTTGAGAACACCCGTCGCGCCCAGGCGACATTTGTCATCCGCAAAGTCCGCGATATGTTGATACAGTGTAGACCAGACCGAAAGGCGCCAACGTGCCGGTGGTTCAAAGCTCATACCCAGGTAACCAATCACTACCGAGGGGCCGGACCAGGGGTACGGTATGCAAATATCGGGGGCAATGTTTTTCTTGTATTTGCATGTGTCACAAATAAATGTTCGAACTCGAGGAGGGGGGGCTCTGAGCGTGATCACGGAGCAACTAAACCGTCGTTCGCTCTCAGAGATCCGCTTCCGTCGATATTGAAGACAATTTTCCTGTGTGCCGAGTCGTTTCTTTAACTTTGTCCGAGAAAATCTCTGACACACCTATACCGAACCACATTGAAGTTTGTTGGACATTTGCAAATAGTTTGATCTCAGACTTGGACTCGGACTTTGTGGACTCAGACCGTATTTGAACTTGGTCCTTGGTGACTTAGACTTGGGACTAGATAAGGTTGGAGGTGACTCCAGCCCTGCTTGCAGGTACCCCATTACCTTCCTTGCATGACCATCTCCACAATAATGACCAGAAATGTGTCGATTTTATTTTAGCAAGCAGAAGAGGAGATTTCACAGCTGAAGGCAGACAACCTCCACATGCAGAAATGTGTGATGGAGTCAGCAAAGGAGATGGAAAAGATGAGCGACGAGTACAACCACATCAAAATGGCCGTCCATCAGTGCGACTCCTTGACAGACCAGCTTAGGAAAGACAGGGATCGCGCTGAGCTTCAGGTTAAAAATCTCCCCTCCAATGAAACACTTTTTTGGTGCTCTCAGTTTTCATGTTGCTGACATCTGCGTCATGTGCAGGTCAGAGAGTTGACGCAGAAGATTAACTCCATGACAGAAGAGGATGACCCCATTATTGCAGCAGTGGACGCTAAAGTGGACCAATGGAAGGTTGGCGTATAACTTTTCAGGGCGCCAAGTTAGTTTCGCCCAAAAGAAAGTTCAGAAGAATTTCTATTGGGAGTAGTCTGAAAAGACACAGCAAGTCTGCAATCTTGAGTTGTAGTAGCCATTTTTGGGTCAGTTATGAGTTCTGGTGAAATTCAGACAATGAGGGCAAAGCTAGTTTCACTCAGCAACAGCTGATAGTACAGTCCCGTGAAAAAGTATTTGCCCCCTTCCTGGACTTTGCATGTTTATCACACATAAAGATTTCAGTTCATCAAACCGTCATTGCATGTAGGCCACAGGTGTCAAAATCAAGGCCCGGGGGCCAGATCTGGCCCACCACACCATTTTATGTGGCCCGCGAAAGCAAATCAAGCATGTCAAGTTCCATGATGCTTGCTGAAGTCTCAACCAAACTTATGGGGCGAATAATTTTTAACAAATTTTGATTTTTTTTTTTTTTTTTTTTTTTTTTTTTTTTTTTTGGATACTTAGGTTTGGTGTTCCAAGCAAATCGCTTCCAATAATTTTGGTTTCCTCATCAGAATAAATCCAATGTGTTGTACTGGGAAACCCTCTAAAGAACAGTGTTGTTTCGTGCTTGCACGGATAAGGCGCAAACAACACATTGGAGATGTGTCGTTTGGGATTTGGGGAATACAAAATCATTGGAACTGGGGGAAAAAAAAACATTTCATTGAACAGTATCACTTTTGATGCCAAGTTTCATATTTTTGTCTATTTCATTGTATTTATCTTATAATATTCATGGTTGTCTTTTTCGACTGTCAAGGCCAATGCAGATCAAAACTATAACAATACATAGGCAGTTAAATGACGCTAAAGAGGTTGTGTTTTGTGAATGTATTGTGGAGAAAACGCGTGTGTGTGTGTCTCTCTCCCTCTGTTAAGCATTGGTCCAGCAGAGAAAAATGGAGGAGCTCACATCCAAGCGGGATGTTGCAGAAATGAGAGCAGCAGAGGCAGAGGAGGCTTTGAAACGAGCCGAAGCTCATGCCGAAGAAAAAGACCGAGAGCTCATCGAGGCCTCAAAGCGCCTGAGAGAATATGAAAGAGTAAGTGGATAACAACACACATAAATCATAAATGCAATGCCATTGGTGTCACTGCGTGCCCAGACGCTTCCTGACTTGTGTGACACAAGATGTTGGTGATGTCTCAAAATAAAGGCTCTTTTTCTATATTCTAGGGCACTTATGGCCTGGAAGAAGCCACCGCTGAGATCAAGGAGTGTAAAAGTCAAATCCAAAGGAGAGATTTGGAGTTGGAATCTGTGACCAAAGAGATCAACCAAGCATACATGGCGATTAACCAGCTCTCAGAGGAAAATGAGGACTTCCGGGAAAGACTCGGTGATGTTTTTTTTCCCCATCGCAATATGACAACTATAACAACTTTCACCTCATCTCAACTTTATACAAAGAGCACTTTAACAACAACAACCACAGCTGTAACTAAGTGCTGTACATAAGACAAAAATAATAATAATAATAATAATAATCTGACCGTTTGTGTCTTTCCCAAATGAGGACTTCCGGGAAAGACTCGGTGATGTTTTTTTTCCCCATCGCAATATGACAACTATAACAACTTTCACCTCATCTCAACTTTATACAAAGAGCACTTTAACAACAACAACCACAGCTGTAACTAAGTGCTGTACATAAGACCAAAAAAAAAAAAAAAAAAAATCATCTGACCGTTTGTGTCTTTCCAAAGGCTATGAACCCAAACAGGAAGTGGACCTGAGCGAATTCAGACGAGCAAGAGACCTTAAACAGCGGCAATATAAAGCTGAAAATCAAATACTCGCTAAAGAGGTAAACACAATCCATAAAGGAGCTGAACAATGTTGCAAAATAGTGTTCAGCCCGAATCCAAAATTTCAACCAATATTTTTTTCTGCAATGTTCCTGTTCAGATTGAACGTCTTGAAGAGGAACGACTACAGATGAAGAAACAAGTCAGACTCCTGGCCAAACAGAGAGGTGACTTAATCACTATTCACTCCAAAAATATGACACAGCATCCACTTAAGACAAATAGATGTCTCCTTTTTCCCCATCGGAAACAAAAAATGGGGAGAAAACCCGTAATTTGCTCAGTTCAGAGATGCTATTGTTCACGCACAAACACTGCTGAACACACAAACACTGCTGAACCCATTTAAATTCAAACCAAAACAGCAGCAGCTAGCAAGGCACATAAACAATTTTACGATGAAGCAAAGTCATACACTTCAAAAACTCCCCTAAAAAAAAAATCAGTGCCCTGAGCAGCCATTTTGGTTGCAAACCCGCCATTTTGAGCTTATTTACAGAGTTCCTTCAGAAAGGAATTAGTCCTGGATTTTGATCTGACCAATACCAACGTTTTAGGGCTTTGTGTAATTTTCTGTTCGGCTGTGACCTACATTTCTGTGTCTTTAGGGCTGCCACCATCCATCTTGGTGGAGGAAGATGTCTCACACAGGACAAATCACACAGACGAAGAGCGCCGAGCCAAGGTCAGCACATTGGCACTATTTCAAATGAAAATTGAATTCCTGTCCGAGTCCTATATCATTTATGGACATTGTGTTTTCAGAATGAGCACCTGGAAGAAGAGCTGCAAATCCAGAAGAGACAGATGGAGCTCAACAAGACACAGTTTCATCTCAAGTGTACGCAGAACCTTCCTGGTCGCGTCCCATCCTCCGCTTGGCCCTTGCATTTGACTCTTTTCTGTCTCTTTTCAAAGTGGAGCAGCTCTCCAAGGAGAAAGGAGATGTGGAGGCTGCGCTCAAGGATGTCCTCCGGGCTTTGAAGGCCAAGGAGACCAGTCCGTCTGACGCTGACTTGGGTATTTCTGGTCGAGTGGATGTGAGTAATCTCCCTGACGTTTTTTTAATCCTGAGACTCAACCCATTCCTGCCGGGCTTTGAAGGCCAAGGAGACCAGTCCGTCTGATGCGGACTCGGGTATTTCTGGTCTAGTGGATGTGAGTAAACGCCCTGATGTTCTTTTAATCCTGAGACTCAACCCGTTCCTATCTTCTGTAGTCCGTACTGCTTTTGCCTCTGATTTCCAGTTTGTGCAACAGGATTTTCATTTTCCTGCATCCAATTGTGTCTGATCACAGGTAGAGAAGGTCATGGGCAAGCAACTGACGTCAGACCTCAAGTCTCAAATCCACGAATTAGTGGGCAGAAACGAGGAGCTCCGGCGGGAACTGAAGTCCACCCGTGAGGAAGCGACGGGCAGCGTGGCTCAACTCGCCGCTGCAAAAGAGAAGGTACGTCCGTGGCGGAGAACGGAAGCCGTTGCCAACTTTGATTTTCAAGGCTATAATATCTGGTCACAGAGTTAACATTTAACAGTGATGTGAGTCTGTAAACATTCCATGTATTCCAGTTTGCTAACTTTCACCAACACAAATTTACACTACAAGCGGCCCTTTTGTCCCACAGTGATTGAATACAAAGCTCCTTGGGTTGTTGTTGACTTTCGATGACTGCTTGTGACAGTCCTGAGAGTTAACATTTAACAGTGATGTGAGTCTGTAAACGTTCCACGTATTCCAGTTTCCACTGTCCAACTTTCACCAACACAAATTTACACTACAAGCGTCCCTTTTTTTCCCCACAGTGATCGAATACAAAGCTCCTTGGGTTTTTGTTGACTTTCGATGACTGCTTGTGACAGTCCTTTGTGTGTCTCTTGTGTGTGCGGTGTCAGATGAGTCACCTGGAGGGCAAGCTGGAGCACCTGAGCAAGTCCGGCGGCGGCATCACTGGCGGCCTCTTCCAACCACTGAGCCTCCCCGAGGGCCTGGAAATCAGCAGCATGGAGATCATCAACTCCTTGAACGAGTACGCCGTCCGGCTGCTTCAGGTCTGTGGTATCTTGTATGCGTTAATCAACAGATAAAGAGCATTAGCTAATATTTTTTTGTTTCTGTTATTGATGTTAACTAGGAAGTCCAGAATCAGGAGAACACACGGGATAAGCTGACAGCAACACTGGAGGAATACAAAGAGAAATTTGCCATTATTAGCCACCAGCAAGGGCTTCTGTATGAGGAATACCTCAGGTTTGAAGATGCAGTGTTCCTTATTGGATTCTTGAAACATGAAGGATGTTTTTAGGTGGCCGAGTGCTGACATTTCATGGAATTCTGTATGTAATTTTTGTGCAGTGAGAAGTCGCAATGGGAGAAGGAGAAAGAAGCTTTGACGAGCACCAGAGGCAGACTTGAGGAGAAACAAGAGTTGGACTCTGTTAAACTCCAGCAGTTCAGCGTAAGGAAGATAAACTTTCACACCAGGAGATTGCAAAACTGCCGCATTCCAGCCATAACGCGTGTGAACGTTTACACAGACGCACGATCCCGCAATCAAGATAGTTAAGAGGACGTTAGGGACTGCATCGGGTGTGACGTAAGAAATAGTTGTTGGACAGCGACAATTAATTTCAACAAAACAGGATGGGGAGAACTGTCGGGTGTTAAACTTCATACCCTCGTCCTGGCATTGCGGCATTTTCGCTTTATAGGCGGGTGTCCCACCTCTGTTACCCCCGGAAATTAGTCGACTTTGCCCCCAACCCCCATTTTGTGTCGGTGGTGTTCAAAATCCATAAACGCTTCACTTCACTCCTACCACTAGGACCTGCTGGAAGCCCTTGAGAAGGACCCAGAGGAAGTCAGGCGGCATCTAAGTGAATCGCTGCGCAAGTTGACCGTGTCCAAAGTCAATGAGAAGAAGCTGACTCGACGTTGCACCACCCTGATGGAGCAAGAGCAGCACCTGCGCAAGGAAAATGGTCGGCTGAGGGACGCCGACGCTCAAATGCAGACTGCTGTCACCGAGAGAATCGGCTGCCTGCTCAGATACAAGGCAAGCGATCATCTCATTTTGAGAGTATTTCAGGGTTCTTCCTGCCTCAAATTGAGGCAAGAGGTGGTGGTTAGTGAACAGGAGACTCACGACGACAGCAACACGTTTCATGTTTCATCTGCCATTTATTACACTTTGCTTTGTTTGTAGGCTTTTGTCTGAGCTAGGTGAATTTGTCCAGCCACTAAAGATCAGAATTGCTGGCTCTGATTTGGGGGAAAATCTGGACGAACATTAACTTTGCTTTAGTATCCTGAACCTCCATTTCAACTGAATCGCGTCTCCTGGCCTGTATCTCCTGTCCTGAAACTTCATGGAATTTTGTTTGTAAAGGAAACTGCAGCGTACAGGATGGCGGTGCTGCAGAAGACCTTGGATGACAGCGTGCCGGCGTCGGAGCTGGAGAAGGCCAACAGGCAGTACACGGAGCTCACAGTCAAATACAGAGATGTGCTACAGAGAGACGGACTGCTCGTCAAGAGAACCACAAACTTGGAAAATCTGGAGGTGCGCAAAAACACCATGGTGGAGTCTCAAAGGTGTAATTTGTTCCCTTTGGACAGTGATTCTCAATGTGACGCGCCACGAGTGGAACACGACATCCCTTAAGATTATTATTACTGTCCCTTTAGAGTGAGAATGCATCTTTAAGAGGACACATGGCCACCATCAACAAGGAGCTGGAGATCACCAAAGAAAAGCTGCACGCGTTGGAGCATGCATGGGAGAACTCGAAGTTGGAAATGGGCGAGGGTGATGCAGAGAAGAGCCCCGGCGAGGGGGCATCGGCCGCCCGGCGGCTGGCCACGCTGGAGATGAAGGAGCTGAACGAGCGTCAAAGGGCGGAGCATGCCGCCGCCATGTATGAACGGCTGAGGAGCTCACTTAGCAAGGTGGAAGAGCGGAACAGTGAGCTGGAAGCCAAGTTTGCTGAGGTAGGACGGGGAATAGCGCAGATATACAGCGCCGGGCAAAAAAAAAAAAAAAAGAATCCACTGCAAATGATCAATTTCTCTGCTGATGAAATTACACATATCCTTACATTTAGCCAATTTATTTGGCACTTGCCAGCCATCATACTGTATGTCGATGATAGGCTTGGGATCAAACGTTTTTGTTTCCCTCCTCAGTTGACCAAAATGAATGTAGAGGCACAACACCTGGAGCGAGAGCTGAGAGATGAGCTGGCTGACTGTGTCACCAAAGCAGCAAGCGATGCCGACCGGGCGAGGATCGGACAGCTGGAGGCCATTGAGGCACAACTGCGCACGGAGCTTTCAAAGTATAGTGTGCAAAAATAACAATGCTACGGTATACTATGTCTTGTTTAATACGTATCATAATGACAGGTTGCTTTGAATCATGATTAATAGGCTTCGGGAGGTTTCCGACATTGCAATGAAACAAGCGTCAGCTTTCCAGGCCAGGCAACATTCTAACGACAAGGAGGTGGAATCTTTGAGGAGACAAATCTTAGACTACCAGGTATGTGTGATAGCATAACAAGTGCTAGAATTTCAGCATGTAAATATATTGTCATTGGAACTAGCACCTGACCTAACAGGCGCAATATGTCAAATCCTTATCAATCGGCCTTGTCACTCCCATAACTCAGGTTGCAACTTTGGTGATGTGTTTGCACGCTAACTGCCAACACGTTAGCATTTGATCAGTTTACATTACAAACAGTTTCCAACAACAGTGCAAGACTAGAACTTGTACATGAATACAGGGCATTATGTAAAATGCTTATTCTACCCTAATAAATGTTTCCCCATTAATTATAAGAATAGCAAATGACATTATTCCCAACAAGTTTAGCTTCGCTCTTCCTGCAATTTGTTTTATCTCGCACAATATCAAATAAGCTTTATTTTTTTTCCTAATACATCTTTATTTAAATAGCGTTTACACAATAGCTCCAGCTATCAGAACATTGAACATAAAATAACAAAAATAGAACAGAACACACTATGATGTGCTTTATGTTAACAAATCATAGGTAGTGTAAAAAAAAAAAAAAAAAAGTAACATCCATTTTTACCTTGATTGTATATTATCTTATTTATAATTGTATGGGTGAGACAGGGAAAAATTTGTAAAGTATTTGTTGCTTGGACGCATGTAACTCGGGTCAAAGGTTTCCGACTTGTTCTTCAATAGTCAATTTTAAGGGTTGGAAAAGTAGGTAAATAAAAAATAGCAACCAAATCACTAAGTTGGGCAACACTTACTCTGCTTTTGTAAACTACCGGTAATTGCCCATTCCCACTCCATGCTAGCTTCTTTAACCGTGGTCCTCGTAGAAAAATCTAAAAACAAACCCAGTAAAAACCTTTTTGCTGCTGGCTAAAATTAGTTCCAAAACTTACGTATCTTGTTCAATCTTTCATTTCTTGTTATCAGTCTCAATCGGACGAGAAGGCCCTGGTGGCTAAGCTACACCAGCACATTGTGGCTCTGCAACTCAGCGAGTCAGACGCCTTGACTAAGCTGGCCGCTTCCGCCGCCCACGTCCGCCATTTAGAGGCACTCTTGCGGCGCTCCGAGCAGCGTCAGGACGCCGGTGAGCGGGCGCTGTTCCTGACCCGTCAGGAGGCCAGCAGCCGTTGCTGGCGCCTGCGACAGACGGTGCAATCGTTGCGCCGCCAGTTTGCTGGCGCGCTTCCACTGCAACAGCAGGAGAAGTTTTCGTCCACCCTGGTGGGCCTCCAGGAGGAGAGGGCAAAGGCGTTCCAGGAGAGGAGGGAGGCAGAGGAAGCACGGAGGACAGCGGAGGGTCGCGCGGAAGAGCTGGAGTTGAGGCTACGAGGCCTGGAGGAGCTCTGTATCACGTTGAAGGATGCCAAAGGGGCCCAGAAGGTTAGTTGTAACTCCAAGCCTTGCCCCACAAGTTAATGTCAAAGCTTGCATCCATTGTATCAAAGGAAATCAAATTAAAATGCTAAACTAACATAGCATAGAGATCACAGCAAGAAAAGTCAACCACCAAAATTAAGGAGCAACACTGTTTACATCCATCCATTTAAAATAGCATTTGTGAGGAAACTCGCAGAAGTGTTTTGAGTCGAAGGTCGATTGTGTTCTGTTCGTCTTCTACTGATCACATGACATCACCAAAATAGGTACGCGAGTGGCACAAGAAGATGGAAGAAGCCCATCTGCAGGAGCTGAGGAAAAGCAGGGAGGTGACAATGCAAAAGGAGGAGATCCGGTACCTGAAGAACCTGCTGGAGGAGCAGGAGAGAAACATCCACTCGCTTAGCGAGGAAATTGTACAGCAAAATATGGTAAGCCTGTGCGTGAAAAAAGCGGTTCACTTTTTGGCACTTTTGTACTTGACTTTCTTTGGTCCAAGATTCAAGAAGAGCACCAGCTCGCGTGGGACCAGAGAGAGTTGGAGTTGGAACGTCAGCTGGACCAGCACGAGAAACATCAGGAGTTACAGGGAGGCACTGAAAAGGTTCATTTTGAAGCATTTTTCCATGGCTTTTTTTTTTCATTCTAAAATGAGCAATAGATGGTAAATCAAAAGATTTTATCAATGAATTCAGATTTATTTGTCAAGGCGATTTTTCTTATTTTGCCTGTGGTTTCAGTCGTTCAAGGAAGCATTTTTCCATGGCCCACTAGTTGGCACGTTGTGCCACTAGTTGGCACGTCCACTTCATAGTACAGAGGTGCAGGGTTCGAATCTGCGCTTTGGCTTTCCTGTGTGGGGTTTGCAACCCGTGCCTGCGTGGGTTTTCTCGGGGTACACCGGTTTCCCCCCCACTTTCCAAAAACATGCCAAGTAGGTTAATGGAACACTCTAAATTGTCCCTTGGTGTGATTGTGGCTGTGAATGGTTGTTTGTCTGTGTGTGCCCTGTGATTTGCTGGCAACCAGTTGAGTGTTTCCCCGCCGACTGCCCGAAGACGGCTGCTATATGCTCCAGCACGCCCACAACCCTCGTGAGAATATAAAGCCGTTGAGATAATGGATGGATGGATAGTTCAAAGCTGACATGGACTGCTTACACAAACATGACTAGAAGGGAGCCAGTTTACAAAAGCATTGAGTATGAATAATGTAGCCATTTGGTCGCTATATTCAGCGATTTATCCAACCCTAGCAAGTAAAATGTAAAATGGTATTTTTGCATGTAAAAAAAAAAAAAGGTCTTATTTTAAAGCCATATGGCCTGTCCTTATGAGCTAAGTTCTATGATTTCAGGCAATGGATACTCCCAGCTACCTCCCGGACACAAATCTACCTCTCAACCAACAACATGAGTTTGCCTTGAGAAAAATCAGTGAGCAAGTTGATGTTATCTTGAACACGCAGGCCGCTGGAAAACGTTTGGAGGAGGTATCATTTTCTTCCATTTTGTGACGCTTTCAATCTTGCAACGGATGACAGGCATCCTTTTGGTCAAACGCAGAAACTGAAGGAGAAGGAAGAAGCCTTGAGAAAGTCCGAAAAGAATGTGGCGGCCAGGGACAAAGTCATCAACGAGCTGCGTCTATGCCTCCCGTCCGTTGTCGCCGGCGGTGGGCGTCCACCGACGGACACTACCGAGCGTGAAGGAGAAGCACTCAAGCTGGTGCACAAGACTGTGAAAGATCTCCAAGGGCGATTGGACAAGAAAGATGGTGTGCTGAAAAAGTACCAGAACCAACTGTCACAAGCCGTAAAGGTACAGTGATACCAAACTGTCATAGTTCTCTTCTTGTAAGTAAACTAGCTACTAATCTCAGGATCAAGAGGAGCTGATCAAGAGGCATGACGAGGAGCTGAGGACACTTTATCAGAAGTTGGATTCGAACAATGACACCAACCTGGACCGCCTCAAACAGCAAGCAGCGGTACTATTCGCTGGGTTTGATTATCCCCCCCGCCCCCCCCCACCCCCCAAAAAATACATGCTTACAAGTGTTAAGGGTATTTTATTTATTATATAATTAATCAGTAACCTGAATTTTTTTTAAAAAGTATTTAAAAAATCGTATCAGTTTGGCTGTTGGCTATACAAAATAGGTCAGACATTCATTGGTTCCCAAATATTCCCTATGTCCATCCCGCCTGCCAGGAGATGATGAAAAAGCCCAGCATCGTCGTGCCTACCTCCAAACATTTGGACCGCATGGCAGAGTTGGAACAGACTGTGGTCGAACAGGACGTGTCGCTCATGTCTGTCACCAATAAGCTGAAGATGGCCATCGTGGAATTGGAGCAAGTGAAGATGGCCATGGATACGCAGGCCAAGAAACATGCAGACGAGATGTCCAGGTTATGGGGGGTTTCCTGAACTTGGGGGGCCATTTCTGTTGGATGATAACAAGCCATATTTTTGTATGTGGTTCCACACAAATTGTCTTTGATATCATGAGCTTATACAACGAATTGTTGGTTAAAAAAAAATGCACAGATTGCATACACATTGCCTTTTTTTTTTTGCAGTCTTTGAATGACTTAGCCCATTTGTCAGTTTAAAAATCCAAATGTGGCCTTTGAACACAAACATTTGCCCATGTCTGAGTTAACCCATCAAAAAGGGACTTTATGTGAAGAATCGCATTTTAAAAAGGTGCTGCATATGTTCAAAACCAGGAACAAGTGGTGACAGAAGAACATCTGAAACCATCTTGCTAAAATCACGGCTCTTGCACAGGCTCAAGGAGTTTCATAGCGTAGAGGTGGAAGATCTGGCCGTGGAGACCAAAGACCAGAAGAGAGAAATAACAGAGCTGAAGAAGGAGATTGACTCTCTCCAGAACGAGCTGGAGAGCCAAAAGGAGGCCAACGTTCTGTCTCCAAGCAACACCATGAAGAACTTGGTGCAACGCCTAAGGCTGCAGCTGGTCCACAAAGAGAAACAGATCAAGGTTTGTCAAGAATGTGTTTTTTGATTACTTTGGATCAGAAGCTTGCTTTCATTATGATTTGTTTCCTCAGGCTCTCAGCAAGGTTCTCTTAGAACTGCGGACCCAAATGACATCTGCTGCCGAACAACAAGTCTTAGCCAACGCCGCACAGACTGAGGAGAGGCTCAATGTACAGAAGTTAGTCGACAAGCACACCAAAGACCTGAAGGTGGGGCTCCACCTATCTATCACATGTGGATTATGATTGGTTCGATACAACCACCTCATACTCTCTCCACAAAGGCTCGGGTGCAAGAGCTCAGCAATGAGCTCAAAACAGCAAAGGAGTCAGCCAAGAGAAACGAAAGCACCCTCAGAAAGGAGGTGGACAATCTGAACCAAGAGCTCCAGAAGAGCCAGAATCATCAGAAGAGCCTTCGGGTCAAGAATGAGGAAGGAGAACAGGAAATCCAGGAGCTCCAGAAGCAAGTCAAGAGGCTTAGCAGCTGCATTCAGGTTGGGGGAAAAAAAAAAACTTCTTGGTTGGAAAGACCTTTGCAGTGTTGTTTCATAAATAAATATTTGTCGACATAGAATGAAAACATGTTCGAAGGGAAGGGGCCAACGATTGAGAATCTACAGAAGAAGATCAGGAAGTTGGAGTCAGACCTGGAGAAGAGTGCTGAAACCAAAAGAGTCAATCAGGGAAAGGTTTGAATAACCTTCAACCTTAATTATGTACATGTCTAAATGTTTCATTTGCGCCAAGCTAAATGCTGTGTACATTCGACAGAGCAAAGAGGAAATACTGCTGTGGGAAGAGGGCAAGAAGTGGCAGTCCAAGCTTGAGAAGATAAAGAATGCGCTGAAGGATAAGGAACAAGAAAATGACTCGCTGTCCAAACAGCTCAACACTCTAAAAGACCTCTATGGCAGGTCAGTGACAACAAAATAATAATAACAAAAACTGTATGTGTCACGTGATGCAAGTGCTGAACGATCAAGCATTTTTGAATTGAAATTGCGAATCGTGATCACATTTATCAGTTTGAACACTAAATACCTTTGTAGTGTATTCAGTTAAATGTAGGTTGAACATGATTTGCACATCACTGTATTCTGTTTTTATTTATGTTTGACACAATGTCTCAAATTCATTGGAAATAGGTTTGTAGATCCAGTGAAAGTAAGCGTCAATGGTCACTGATGATCATTGTTTTCGCTGTGTTGGTTTATGGCGCTAACGCAGACTTGAGCGAGAGAGGAACATACTGCTGAGGAAAACAAAAGCTCGAGGAGTGACGGCGGACCAGGTTGCGGGAGCGAGACGAGATGAGCTGGACAAGGACCTCGAGGAGCTGAGGAAAAAGAACGCAGAGCTGGAGAGTCAGCTGAATGCCATTAAGTACGTATCCTGTCTTTTTGAGTACGATGGTTCACATCTTATGTCTCTGGCAGCACTCACTATATCCAACGCAAGTCATTCAAATCAAGCCCCGTGGGGTTTCAGGTGTGCCACAGAGATGTGTTCTGGGGGCCCTCCGCCTCTTTTGTATTCATGTGTTGGGACTGTTGTCCCGTTCAATAAATGGGTGAAAATCAATCACTGACTCTTGCTCTCCTTTCCCACATGCAAAGTCATTCCACATGCAACTGCTTCCTTTTTATTTCCCCACTTCACTCAAGCGACTGTTGATGAAGCTCGACGATCAAATTCAAATGTCTCAAAATGTTGCATTGCAACACAAAGCCATGACCACTGTATTGATCTCCGACGTTTGTATTTCGGGGAACCTTCTAGGCAGCAACAGGCTCTAAGTCGTGACGCAGCTGTAGAAGATCTGACTCAGAGGAACCACCACCTGGAGGAAAGACTACGAGCCATAGAGACCCAGACATCTCCATCAAGACTGCCTGTGAGTGTTACTGTGAAAACACATTCCAGATTTTCAAAATATTCTCACATGGGACTTCTTCACACACACACACCCTCGTCTGTTTATGACATAGCCCCACTATTTTTCTTTGTCTTCATCTGTTTTTATTTCTTGACTGGTGTCAGTTGGATTCATCGCATGCAAAGAGGAAAAACTTGCAGGCTTTCAAAGGAGAAATGACTTTTGATGTTAAAAACGTCTCATCGAAAGCAAGTGCAGCGCACCCTCCGGATGAACCACAGTGCTGCTCCCCGGGCCCTGAGGTCAACAGTGTCACCTCTGAAAAGTCTGAGTTTGAAACTGACGCTGAAGAAAAGATTTTGAACCTTGAGGCAGCCAAAAACCACACAGCACAAAACAACCACGTAGAGGGTGTAAATAAGATGGATGCAATGGGGAGTAACAAATCTGCGGACATACCGAATGGTTCAGAGGATGCAGAGCCTGAATCTGAAGGATGTGAATCATTGTCTTTCTCTGCAGAAGGTGAAACAAAAGGTAATGGGAATAAAAATGATGAATTGGCTAGTCGAGACAGTGATAAAGACGAGGGGCGATCTGATGCAGAAAAGCCTGAGGGGACAGAAGAAGATTTAGTGTCTACAAGGGAAGCAACGGCAGATATTCCAGATATGACCAAATACGAGGAACCAAGCCAAAACCTTGACAGGAAACAGATGGATGATGGTGTACAGAAGCCAGAAAGCAGGTCGCAAATATATCCAAAGGTACTTCAGGCCTCTGTAGTGGTCCAGCACTGTACTAGTTTTGTAGTATTCCTCACAGAGCTGAAGTCTTCCCAGTGTTCCCCTTTTGCGCTTTACTTTTCCATAGTGGTGCGTAGGCAAAAAGTTAAACATGCAGCTTTCTAGATTTTAGTCTTAAAACAATACATCTTTCTTTTTTGCCTTCCTCTAAGACATCAGAGAAGGATGCAGAGACACCAAGAGACATGAACCTCCAGAAGGAAAACCTCAAACTGGCTTCAGAGAATCTGGAGCTCCGTCTCCAACTGGCACAGGCCAACATCGATCTGCCAAGGCTGAAGGTCCGCACCACTTTCTACATGGTTGCTGAGAGTACCTTGTCACAATTAGTCTATAGAATCTAAATTCGTGGTGTATTGCTTTGCTTTTCTAGAGTAAAGTTGCAGACCAGGAAGAGATGTTCAGTGTCCTAAAGAAAGAACGCGCTGATTTGCAGAAGAGGCTGGCCAATACCAAAGTAGGATCCCGCAGAAAAGAACAGACCCGTCTCCTTTTTATAAAACCTGACAATCATTATGGGATCCTTAACAGGTTAGCTGCAGCGGAAAAAAAATACCAAAGTAGGATCCCGCAGAAAAGAACAGACCTGTCTCCTTTTAATAAAACTTGACAATCATTTGTTATGGGATCCTTAACAGGTTAGCTACAGCGGAAAAAGTGTGCCCGAACTCGAGAAAACCATCCACTTGATGAAGAAGGTGGTGGAGAGGTTACAAAAGGAGAATGAGGCACTGAAGAAAACATCAGCAATTCAGAGTCAGGACAAGGCCTTGGAGCAAGAACACAAAAAGCTACAGGTTGGTGTCCACACGACACGCATGCTTTCACCATAACAGGCTCGAACAATCGTCTTTTGTCTTCTAGGCCGAATACGACAAAGTGAAGAGCCAACAGGAAGCAGAGATTCGCAGATTGGAATACAAATGCCGAGGACTGGAGAAGATAGTGACAGAGAATGAACGTCTGCGAAAGCAAGTCAAGAGGGTACAATGAAGACCAGCAATAGATTAATACAATATCCAGTGCACTCTCGCTTCTTTGATGGTCACCATTTGCAAATTCACTAATTCACATTTTTTTCTGTGGAACCTGCCGTTATGTGGTTCAATGTACAAGCTCCTCGTAGATCCCAAATTGATAAACCACTAAGTACAGAACACCATTTAAAATTTACATGTTGTCAAATGTTGGTCATCAGGAAGCGGATGCCGTCGAGAAACTGCGAGTGTCTAAGACCAGCGTGGAGCTGGGCTGTGAGAAGCTGGAGGTTGAGCTGGAGGAAACGAAGCAAAGACTCCGCGACGCACTGTCCAAACCCGCCCTTGAAGTCACTGACGGCAAGTCCACCAAGGTGTCTGTGGTGACTCGGTAAGAAGGGCTGGTTTTTACCATCAAAAATTAGTGCCAACTGTTGTTTCTTTCTTCTTTGTTTGAATTGATTTTTCTCCCACTTGTTTCCGTAGAATGTTTGAGAACAAGATGAAGGAACTGGAGAAGGAACTCTCCACGAAAACCTCCAGTCTGGCAGAGCTCAAACAGAAATTGAAGGAGGCTAATCTACGTGAGGAGACGGCGCAGATACGCATTCAACGACTCGAAGATCAGGTCAGATTCGGCGACTTATTGTGCGTTCATCCCCCACTCTCACATGAGCAATTAGTCCAGTCCTATTTTTATTAAGTCGTTTGCTTATCGCTTTGTACAATTTGTTTCGCACATCTTAGACGTGAGCGCCTGGTAGGCTATAAATTCCTGTGGTGGATTAAATGGTCCGCATTTGACAACCTCAACCAAACTGGGGAGACAATGACCAAATTAAATACACAGTCCAGCGCCTTTGGATGTACGGCACAGACCAGAATCTGTTTGCTTGGTGTGAGGCTGTTGCATCTCGCGGTGTGAGGATGTTGCAACCTTCCCACTAAGCTAGGAAAACTGTGGGACCAAAATCCTTTTTCTTTTTTCATTTGAACAGGTCGACAAATTGAATGTTGCCGGCGGGGCGCATACAGAAGCAGACGTCTCCAAGAAAATGAGGTGTAACTATGAGTTTATGTTCATCCCTCTACTGTAGTTGACATTGTCACAATCTGTTGCCGCTGTATCATACACATAAAAACATAATAAGAAACACACACACCCGCCAAAAAACCCCACGCTGTGTGTTTGCTGCCAAATATTGTGTGTCCTTATTTCTGTTCCAGTGAGCTATGCTAATTACTTCCAGTATGCTGCAATGCGTGTGTTTTTGCTGTATTTCTCCACAGTATTTTTGTTTGGAATTGTATTCCACTTTTACGTGCCACAACATACGAGCGTTTCAAATCTGCATGAGGGCTAATACTTTGGAGTAGGAGGGTACAAACACATTTTTGGACTATTGTTTTAATGGTGTTTTTTTTTTTTCCACAGCGAGTTGAGGAAAGAGAACGCAGAGTTAAAAAAAAGACTGGATGAGTCCAGCGAGCAAGACGGTGGGACATCCAAACACGACACAGGTGACACTGCCACACATGCTTTATTCCACACTTTGCCACTACAAACTAAATTCTCCCTTCTTGTACTTCATAAGAAAGCAGGAAGCTGAAAGGTCTCCTAAAGTCAGTGGAGGCGGAGAAAAGCGAACTGGAAGCCCAAGTCCAACAGCTGAAGGACGAATTGGGCAAGTTGGATGCCACATTCTTTGACGAGATTGAAGACTTGAAGTACAACTACAATGTGGAGGTGAAGAAGAACGTCGTGCTCGAGGAGCAGCTGAGGGAAATGTGTGATCGCACCTCAAGAGACACCCTCAGTTGAGGTCAAATCGGGTGCAGCGTTTAATAACCAACTTCATGACTTAGATTTTACTTACACTGATAAACCTTTCAGTGCCTTGGTAGGGATAAGCATCAGTGTAATTTGAGCAATTTGTCCATCGGACAGTGTTATTTTTAAAATTGCAGTAACTTTTATGTCTTAAAAGGTTACTTTCATAAGTGCAGCTTCAACTGTAGTACAGTATACTGTATTTTTTTCTGTTTTACAACTGTACAATTGTCATGTACAATGGTAGTGTTTGTGATAACTACAATAAAACATTACACGGGTTGCTTGGGGAAGCCATTGGAGCATTTAGTTGACATCCTTGATATCCATCTTGACGTCTGTGTCCCAGTAGGCTGTCTTCACGAAGCCACTTCAATGTGGGTGTGGGACAACTACGTGTTACTCGTGAGGCAAAACTGTGTGTTACTTGACAACAGGGTACTTTTAAGTTCACCCATTTCTTTGGCTTATATGTTTATAATTCAGCCCACTTTTACGATAGCCCGCCATAAATCTGTTCGAGCAGTTTTTCGATACCCTACTAGTCCACTGAATTGTCTTAAGTATATAAGTACTGTACTGTATATCAAATGAATGCTCAAACCGCTTTCTAAAGGTTATCAGGTTGTACTTCCTACATTACAACCTGATGCAATTAGATTTTAATTGACATAAGTCTTTGTACCATTTAAAATAAATACACTTTGAATGATTTTGTCTCTTGACAAATGCAGATAGATAGAAGTGACGCTGAGCAGTACTTACTTTCGATTCAGCGGTCCAGTCTTGCTCGTGGTAGTTTATATGTATCCAAATCTCCAATCAAACGTAATAAGCCGCTCACTCGCCTGCCTCTCGAACCCTACAGATTGTCCACAAAAATATATTCTCGTCCCGTGAACGAATCTTGATATGCCGGCGTTTGCAATGAAAAGGCGAAGCACCCCTACCACGATGGTCGAACGCACGGGATGTTTCTTTTTTTAGCAAGGACAATCCCGCTCTATTACCTGTCCTGTCATAATTTAAGACCTTAAAATACTTTAAAATACAAATTGCGTCATTTAGGGACAACACGTTGAGTTACGCACAATCCCAATTTATGTTCAAATTTGCGAACTTAATAGACATATATACTTGATAAAATACGGTTTACTTTGTTAGCGTGACGTGTTAGCTGCTATGTTCATCGTTGGCAGGTTTCACAATTGATGTACAAAGTTACCGAATTGTAAATAATTAAGAATTGTAAAGAAATTTAAGACGCTTACCTGGCATAATTCTTCTCATTCCGTCGAAAAGGCGAGTAAGAACGTTCACACTCTACGTAAGAGTGGAAAAGGTCCATCCGAAGTGCAACAAAGCTTGCAGACACCTGGTAGTTAGTTTAGCGCCGACGTCATTAGCGGTTGCTATGCTTACACAGCCAGTTACAAACGAAGGGTTTCAAAATGCGGTTACGAGTTAGGGTTTTATGGAAAGTCTAGAGTTTGAAAGAGCCTCGCAAAACTGTAGTTAGGGTTCTTAAGTAGAGTTTCAAAATGGGGCTACTAGTTATGGAATGTTTAGAGTTTCAAAGGGCCTCAAAATTATGGTTAGGGTTCTCAAGTTTTTAAGTAACCTTAAAAAATGGCGTTATGAGTTAGGTTAGCTCCATCCTTCCTTTGTTCCTTTGCACTCTGGTAGTTAGGTCAGGTATGCTCTGGGTGATCAAATAATGAATGTTGCAATGTGCCTGTTATATGATAAAATACCAAATTTATCATCAACCAATTTAAAATCTAAAATGACCTAAAAAATTGTTTATTGCACAAACCGTCCAACGTCACAAATGAAGCATGTTTACCATTATTACAAGAAAACTACAGAGAATTCCCCCTGTTATCATCTGATTGGGAATGAAAAATACTTTTGAGTGGGGACAAATTATGAATCAGTGAAATCCTTCCTGTCACTTTCAAAGTTGCTTTTTGCAGTTTCAGTTGCCTGCTTGGGACTTCTTGGCTCCTTGGTATCTAAGTGAAAAAGTAAATGCTTAGAATCATTTTTAAAAAATGGACTAGAGTATACCGCGTTCGGGAGTGTCACCTATGTTGCTAGGAGGGATCTCTCCATTTGGATCGCTGGTCTTGCCTGGCTTTTGTTCTCGTGCCGCGTTGTCTTTACTCAGCTTGCTATTGACACAAATGGAAGCTGTTTTTTAAGCGATTATTTATGGGTTTTTGAAGTTTATAAGCCAAGTCTGAATTTAGAGTCTACACACCACTGTTCAAATGCCATTTTTGTGTTGTGAAAAAAATATCCCATGATAATTTATAAGCAACAAAAATAAACAAAAAAACAACTAAGATAACGTAACTGTACTGGAAAATCATCACTTTTCAGGAGACCCCCAAAACAGCATATTTGTTCATCCATTATCATCACATCATCAAAGAAAGCAATTTTCAACACCTTTCAGTCATTTGTAAAAATATAAGTAATAAATAACAAATGTAATAAATAATGTGTGAATACCGTGCCACCTACACTCACTACCATACCATTTCGCCTATTACATCATGAATTTTAATTCACCAAAATGGATGGAAAATGACAAGGTGTGGGTGAATATTTTGGTGTCAGTTTGACAGTGAACGTCAAATGGGAGTGACGTTCATTAAAAAAAATAAATAAATACATTAAAAAAAAATCCTACTTGACTGCTGTGTCATCTGTGTCCACCCCCACGTTGTCAGCAATGTTAAACGTATCCGCCTGAAAATCAAACAAGAAATGCACACACTATTTTGAGACCAATAAATGAAATATTCCAAACGTTGCAGTTGCATGTATGCTTATATCTTATATTTTATATTGCATTCTGTACTGTGTACAGTTCATTTTTTAATTTATTTTGTGCATGCAAAGACTTCGTTTTCTTTTTCTAATTTCACCCCTCCTATTTTGCTGCTGTAGATTGTGAATTTCTCCGTTGTGAGACAAATAAAGATTATCTTATTTTTATTGACTCGCTATTCACCCTTACAGTGGATTTTGGCAAGTGTAGCCTTTCGTCTGAGAGCTTTCACAAAATATGCCATTTATCATTTATGAATGACAGCCACTTTACCTCCATTTTCAGGATCTTACAAGTATTTGAAATGCAGCTATGTGTGTGTACATATATTGGTCATTATTTTTTTTTCCAACTCTCTTTTGGAGATGTGAAGCGAGGCAAGACCACAAGCAACTTCCTCACCGTCCAAATACTTCACCAGTACACAATATCATTTCCACGTACTTTACGTGTATGAGAAAGACTTTCAGGATTGTCATTCTTCAGTGCACTGCACAGCTGCTCCAGACTTGCAACTTTACGCTGAGGAAATAAACAAATAGAAACTAGTGTGAATTACATCAAAGTAAATCGTATCGCAATTACATCAGAATTAAGAGCATTCTAATTGGAATGACTTGTTTTTGTCGAATTATTGATTTTATGTTCGTGTTGAAACGTTGTTTTGAAATAATTGTTCCGTTGTTTCTTTCATCTGTACCTTGAATCTCGGCAGGTCTATGTTGGCTTGCGCGAGCTGGAGGCGCAGCTCCAGATTCTCAGAGGCTAGCTTGAGGTTCTCTTTCTTGAGGTATCCGTCACTTGGCGAGGGAGCTTCAGCATCTTTCTTTGGCACCTGAAGCGGACGCAACATCCAAATGGGCCAAGGCTCGGGAACAAACACAAAACAAAACAACAACTCACAAGCGGTGACGCCGAAGACTTGTTCGAAATGTGCTCTTCTAAGGATCGCAGTCTCTCCTCCAGGGACTGGTTCTTTTCCTCGGCATTCACAGGCTGTTGTGGCCTGCAAGATTATTAATACAGTATTCACGATTTTAATAGTTTGCGAGTAGCGAGTAACGAGGCACACTGGTGGAAAACAGTAAAAGGTGTGAAATTTGCAAAATGCTTTGCATTGGGAAGAGTAACACCATGATAGCCTATGAGGGCATATATTAAGAGCAAAAATATTAATTGATATTAATATTTTATAAATATATATACACATTAATATTATATAAGTACATAAAAACAAAAAAACGTGTTGAATTTACTCAATTTTATTTCGTCAAGTGGTTGCACAAAATAATATGTATATGTGTATATGTCTAAAAAATTATAGCTGATGATTTCATGTTGTGCAGCCATTTGACAAAATAAAATTGAGTAATTCGCATCATTTTTTTTCAGTATGTGCAGCAGGTCTACAATAAAGGATTGCATTCATCCAATGTGCGACTCGACATTGCCCTCTTGCCCAAAGACAGCTCGCATAACCTCCAACTAACCAGTAACCCAAATGAGAACAAGTGTTTTGTTGCTAGGACGGACGAACGGATGCATACTTGGCTGGGATCTGCTGAGTCTCCTTCTCTCCTCCCCGATCAGCCGTCACTGCCCTCGCTTTGGTCTTCTTCGGTGTTGCGTTCTTCTCTTGCTCCAGCCTGCGTAAACACAGTCGACGTGGTAGATCGAATCACAATTGATAGTTTGAATAAAAAGCTTTTCTCGTCCAGCTGGTAAACCAGTGGCCACACTGACTTGGCATAGAGGTCCTTTATAGAAATGAGCTGCCTGGTCAGGAAGAAGTTTTGTTCTTCCTTATCCTTCAGAAGGCGCTTGACCTTATCCAACCTGGACCGCCATTTCTTCGCCTCTTCCCACTGCATTACTTTTTCTTTGCTCTGGAAAAAGAAGTTTTCTGGATGAGCACCATAAAGTTGGAAGTGAAGAATGGTGCAAATTATAATGGTAGGTTGAATGGAATCACAGCAGCTTTATACGTATGGTGAACGTACGGCATCAGTGAATAAAGATATACAATGTGTCACGTCGGCCTTAGTGATGTGTGAGGCACCGCCCGAATATCCCGCGGCGTTACTGCACCCTCCTTAAACAACCTGAGCGGGGTCAACGCGGTTCTTGAGTTGCTTCTCCACCACACGGAACTCTTTTTCTTTCTCCTCCAATTGAGTGCGCAGCGCCTTCTGAACGCTGAGGCTCTTCAGCAGCCTCTTGCTGAGGTTGTCCACCTGAACCTTCAACTTGCTGTCATTCTTTCTGGATGAATCGTTTGCCGCTTCTAGTTGACTGCTCAGCTCCTGCACTTGAGCCTGCGTAGGAGACGAAGGCACACATCCGACGCTCACTCGATACGGGCCGTTATGTTCTTATGCAATGTGGGTTTTTTTCGGTTTTGCATTGATGCTGCGTGTGCATGCCGACTGCACTTTTCACCCACTCGCAGACGTAACTGTCTCCAGATTTAAAGGATAGCTCATGGTCACTGTCATAATACCGCTAGTCCAGTTGTAGGATTTGCGAGATGCATATCGCCAGCATGGGTTAATTTGAGTTTTTATGTTGAATACAACAAGATAAACAATAAAATCTGAAAAGAAAGAAGTTTGCCTGGATCATTTTTGTTGCGCCAAAATCAAGCCATGAATTGGAAAACAGACAAAAGAAAAAATACCTGAATCTGAATTACCCCGTGTATAGTAGAAGACGCTTCCTCATCTCAACTCCTAAATTAAAAGTTAATGAGCAGTTATTTCTTCATAATAGTGTGTTTTCACTTATTTCTCTATTGCACTACATGTATTTTTAAACACACGCTGATAAAATGGGATGTGTAACATTTTGGGGGGGCCGCTGAAACGGATTAATTTGATTTCCATTCATTTCAAGGGGAAACATTACCTCAGTCGATGAACATTTTGGATTCCAAACGAGGTCATGGAATGAATTCAATTCATTCTGAGAATGCACCGAGCTTGATGAATGACAATATTCACAGGCACATTGAAAATGTCCACAATGGCAATTTGGTGACATTTGAAGCTCACTTTCAAGTCTTTGGTGTGCTTGTCAACCAACTTCTGTATGTTGAGTTTCTCCTCGGTCTGCACTGTGTTCACCAAGACTTGTTGTTCTGAGGCAGACGCCACTTGGGCCCGCATTCCAATGAGAACTTTGCTGAGAGCCTGAGGAAACAAGCATGATGAGAGCGAATTTCGAATTCAATATCCAATATTTATGACAATAAAATTCAGGGTCACTTGCGCCAATGTACTGTCATTGTAACTCTGAAAAAAAATGAAAAGTGCCAGATTATCGGTTTAATGCCAATAAATCCCATTTCCCCAAAAATCTTTACTGAAATGTAAGAGGAACTGACCCGCGCATGTCATTTTCTGTGATATGTGATTTTGACAAAAGCAAACCAAACAGCAGTGAGCTTAATCCTCTGATTATTTCCCAATTGGCCCACTGAGGGAAACCATAATTGCGATGAGGCCTGAATGAAAATGCATTTGACACCGCTTTTGTAATGAACATCTTGAAAACGAGAATGAGAACCTTGATCTGTTTCTCTTTTTGGACCAGTTGCAGCTTGAGGCTTTCCACCATGTTCTTCAAGGTGTTGCTCGCGGACATAACGTTGGCCTCCTTTTGGCTCTCCAGCTCGTTCTGGAGGGAGTCCACCTCCTTCTTCAGATCTGCAATTTGGCTCCTTTGGTCTTTGGTCTCAAAACTCACATCTTCCAACTCCGCCGCGTGAGACCTCTTCAGTCTTCGTCAAATCGAACAAGTTACCACATGCGGGCTATTTGCAAGAAGAGAGAAAAATAAAACCAAACAATCACCTGGAGATCTCATCGGCGTGCTTTTTGGCTTGTATTTCCACGGTTGCCTTGTGTCGTTCCGACTCGGCGGCGGCCATCTTCAGCTTCCTGTTAACGGATGCGAGCAACACGTCCTGTTCGGCCACCATCTGCTCCAACTCACTCACGCGGTCCAGATGTTTGGTCGTCGAGGCGCCGATGCTGGGATTCTTCATTGCTTCCTGCGGGAGGGAAGCAAACAAGGAACACTGAAGGGTTCATTTGGATATTCACCGCCACCGCCATGACTGGGCTCCCTCAAACACACCTCTACAATATGAGTAGCAACAATTATCATCATGTATTTATGGCCTTTGGTTCTTCCGATTTCCCGAAAAAGGAGTGCCAGAGTCGAGGATTTTTGCTGTTTGCCTCAGGTGTTGGTGTCAAATCCCCGCGAATAGCAAAGGTCTACTGCAGTTATTTTGGGGATAGTCAGTAATGATGATGTTCAAAAAGTAAGAATCAGTACCGCTGCTTGCCGTTTGAGACGATCCAGGGCCATGTTGTTGTTGGAGTCCAACTTCTGATACAGCATCTTCATCTCGTCGGCGTGTGTTTTTATCATCTCTTCTTGATCCTGCAGACATCAACAACGATAGAACACCGTTTGCTAAAACGTGTATTGTTAGCTACGAGGTCCGCTAGCCCGAGACGGAGTTACATCGGAATAGCCATGTAGAAAGAGCGTTTATCTCAGTTCAAATTCATCCAGTGTAAATACCGCACACAATTTGTTGAGTCAAGGTTGTGGAAAACAAGAGTGGAGATTGTGGAGCATAGCAAAGGCTAAGCAAGGAAAAAGTATCAATCAAGTCGGACCGATACGCTTTGTGTCAAATGTACCTTTCCCACTTGCGTCAGTTGGTTCTGGTACTTTTTAATCACGTCTTCTTTATTGTTGAGTCGACGTTGGAGATCTTTGACGGACTTGTGTGCCAGCTTCAGGGCAGCATGGCTGTTTGCCTCTTCGCTGGACTTGCCTTGTAGTTTCTGGATGGAAAATGTCATTTTTAATGGTGTATTCACAAATAGGTGGGTCTCTGGATATTCCCTTTGTGAAATGAAACAGGAAAATATTTTCTCATTTTCCCATTTCTGAAAATGCATCGTCATGATGTTCCAATTCTGGGAATTGTGTTTTGCCATGTGTCCGCTGCATGCACCACAGCCACAAATCTACACACTAATTGACATGTGCATAAAGTCCTGCCTTTAATAGTGGAAATGTCAATTGTTTTTTTCAGGTCGTCACTCCTAAGACTCCACCATCCTACTCCCTCGAGGCTATACGTCCAGAAGCCACTTGTCTGGTCGCAACTCGCTAGCTACACTCGTGAGCGTCATACTAATGGAAGACTTTCTTGCTATTTGGCGGATCATTTTATGGGGCATGCTTAATTTAACGGTCAAAAGACAAGGCTGTCCCTCCTAACAGTCAAATTTCAGCAAGGAATTGGGTGTGTGCTGCAATTTCTGATCTTTGGATAGCTGGATCTTAGATAAATACATTTCACAGACACGTTAAGACACCTGGGAACCATTTTAAAATGTTGATTCCTGGCAGATACAAATGGGAGCTGGGTGGGAAAGTCGTACCTCTTCCAAACATCTGCAGGTTTCCTTCATCTCTTGAAGCCTCTGCTCCTGATTGTCAAGCTTCCTCCTGGTCCTCCTGCTCTCCTGTTCGTCCTTCGTCCTCTCCTGAATGGCTTTCGCATGCTCCTCTTGGAGGCTCGCCACCATGTCACTGGCAAAGACCTTCAGGTTATGCTAATAAGGAATAGGAGGTGGTCAAAATCATGGGGAATAACTCAAACAAAAGATTGTCATGGGTCAATTCATGTTTAGCTAGCTGCTTTCGCTAACAACATGGCTAGTTTACAAAAGCAGCGCATGTTGCCAAGTTAACAACTGGTCGGAGGAAATCATTTCTCAAAGCTTGTGTGGTATCATGAGAGACAAAGCAAATTCCTCCCAAATTGCTGCAGTTGATGTAAATAAGTTTATATAACGCAACATACAATTTTACAAAAATTGTAAAAGTATTATTCCTGAATATTTATTTTACTTTCAACCACTCGACATGTTCAGTGGCATCAGTGCTATGCATACACATATAGTTCTTATTTTTTTCTTTGTATTTTTGCCCTCTATGGACAATAAAAGCGGTATTGTGCTATGACCAAAACATAAATATAAATCTATATAAATAAAACATGAATTGGAATATTTCATAATCACACAATTTTTACGCTTTGTCTTTGATTTAAAGATGACAATACGCAAAAATCTACAAAAATTGTAGAAATTGTAACACATGGGTTACGAGAGTGGTGGTAAATTTGGTGGTGTGGGTGGGCCTTCATTTTTTTTTTAGGTGGAGGGGGGACATTTAAGCCATATTGCCAGCTCCATGCCATGTTGGTGCTTACATTGGTCAGCTTTTTCAGACTGGGGATACTCGAGGTGTCTTTAGTCTTCAAGGCCTGGAGGACGTCTTTAAGTGCGGCCTCCAGGTCACCTTTCTCTTTGGAGAGCTGCTCCACTTTTAGGCAACACACACAGGAGAAGACCACATGAGTGAAAAAAAAAGAGTGCATAGACATCCACAATGACTTACATGTATATATTGTAAGAAAGCGTCTGGGGATAGATATCATAGAACTGTTGCTGATGTAAATTCTCTGTGGGCCGTAGTAAAGAACAAAGCAGGCCATGTGTGGCCCATGGACCACATTTTGCGAATCCTCACATGCATGCAGTTATGAACAAACAAATGGTCCACTGATAATATAATTGTCAAAAAGGTAATAGGGCGGCACGGTGATCGACTGGTTAGCATGTCCGTCTCACAGTGCAGAGGTTGTGGATTCGATTCCAGGCTCTGCCCTTCCTGTGTGGAGTTTCCATGTTCTGCCCGTGCCTGCGGGGGTTTTGTCCAGGTCCTCCGGTTTCCTCCCACATTCCAAAAACATACATGGTAGGTTGATTGAACATTCTAAATTGTTTCTAGGTGTGATGGCGAACGTCAATGTTTGTTTGTCTATGTGTGCCCTGCAATTGGCTGGCGACCAGTTCAGGGTATAATCCGTCTATTGCCCGGAGACGGCTGGGATAGGCTCCAGCACGCCCGTGACCCTCGCGAGGATAAAAGCAGTTCAGGTAATGGATGGATATAAAAAGGTAATATTAATAAAGGTTTGGCAAAAGGAACCAAAATGCAGGATAACAACTGTAATTACGTTTAAACTGGAACTGGCGCTTGTAGAGTTCTGCCTCCCTCTTTGACATGGTCACCGCTTCTTCCCTAACATGAGATTTGTTGAGTTCTGCCTCCCTCTTTGACAGGGTCACCGGTTCTTCCCTAACATGAGATTTGTTGAGTTCTGCCTCCCTCTTTGACACGGTCACCGCTTCTTCCCTAACATGAGATTTGTTGAGTTCTGCCTCCCTCTTTGACACGGTCACCGCTTCTTCCCTAACTTGAGATCTGTTGAGTTCTGCCTCCCTCTTTGACACTGTCACTGGTTCTTCCCTAACTTGACACTTGTAGAGTTCTGCCTCTCTCTTTGACATGGTCACCGCTTCTTCTCTAACTTGAGATCTGTTCAGTTCTGCCTCCCTCTTTGACACTGTCACTGGTTCTTCCCTAACTTGACACTTATAGAGTTCTGCCTCCCTCTTTGACAGGGTCACCGCTTCTTCCCTAACTTGAGATTTGTTGAATTCTGCCTCCCTCTTTGACAGGGTCACCGCTTCTTCCCTAACTTGAGATTTGTTGAATTCTGCCTCCCTCTTTGACAGGGTCACCGCTTCTTCCCTAACTTGAGATTTGTTGAATTCTGCCTCCCTCTTTGACAGGGTCACCGCTTCTTCCCTAACTTGAGATTTGTTGAATTCTGCCTCCCTCTTTGACAGGGTCACCGCTTCTTCCCTAACTTGAGATCTGTTGAGTTCTCGCTCCCTCTTTGACATGGTCACCGCTTCTTCCCTAACTTCAACCTGAAAACAGAAGATCATGCCTTGTTTTGTTTTTTGTTGCTGTTGTTGTTTTTTTTTTTTTTTAAAAGTGCCAACCTTGGGACACAATTTTTCTTTCAACATGTCAAACATGGGTTGCGGCTCTTCGATCGTGGGTGTGGTGATGTTTTGCGTCGGAGTTGGGAGCCATTTTACAGTGTGGATGACATCGTCATCGTCCTCCTCCCACATGGATGGTGGCAGCCCTGAGAAGAGACAAATTCAGGTCAAGACTGAAGACAAAAACTAAACAAAGCGCTAAAACGTTTTAAAAATTGGATCAAAATCCCTACAAATAGTTCTTTTCTGAAAGACCACTCCCTAATGGCCCTAAAATGTCCACCTTGAACCAAAATAGCTACCCCAGCGCATTTCACTGTGCACTTGTTTTTTTGGGAGGGAGGGTTCAAGATTCATCCCTTCTCCATGGAGCGAGGACCTCGAAAGTGGCAAGTATCGAAATGAGATGAGCCCCAAGTTTTCAAAGTATGTGACCATGTTGTGGTTTTCTATGTAACATCTGCCTGGTGAGCCTGTTGTGCATTTTCGCTAGCTTTATTGGAGTTAAAGATCATTTATGACCATTTTTTAGGGGAATGAATTTGCCTTAAAAAAGTTATTTGTGATTGGGTGAACCTGTAACATAAAAGGCGTATGCTGAGTAGGGGTAGTTTACTAAGTGCTGCTGTTTTTGTTAGCAACAGAATTCAAAGGGGCTCAGTTGAACTCTCTCATGCACGTGTGTGAACAAGAACATCTACGAAATGAGATCGTGACCGATTTCCACTTTTGAATAGGAAAATTTGAGGGAGGAACAAATGGATAGTTCAACCTCTTTGTTTGGCGAGGTGTCGAACTTGTTTCTTCATCGCTAGTCGCTCCTCTTCAAGACGTTCAATCTGAACAGGAAGTGAGCATAAACAGAAAAAAAAATAGTTGTTATGAACTTTGGCTTGTACTTACCTCTTTCGTCAGGACTTCATTTTCGGCTTTGTACTGCCGTTGTTTCAGACCTCTGGCTCGCCTGAACTCGCTCAGGTCAATTTGCTGGCTGGGCTCATAGCCTTTGAAAAGAAACCAAAGAGAGTTGCGGAATTGTTGTCGTAATGTGATTTAAAAAAATAAATAAATAAAAGAATTTTTTTTTAAGAAACATCACCGAGTCTTTCCCGGAAGTCCTCATTTTCCTCAATGAGCTGGTTGATTGTTATGTACACTTGGTTGTTCTCTTTGGTCACGGCCTCTAACTCCAACTCTCCCCTTTGGATTTGAATTTTACACTCCTTAATCTCGTTGATGGCTTCTTCCAGGCCGTAAATGCCCTGGAATACAAAGAAAGTGCCCTCCATCATGAAACATCACCAACTAATTTTGTCTTTGAGCTTTTCACAATAACTCTGAAAGGATTGAACACGCAGCGACACCGATGGTATCGCATGCGCGTCTTTGGTGTGTTGTCGTCCACTTACACGCTCATACGCTTTCAGGCGCTTGGAGACCTCGATGAGCTCCCGATCTTTTTCCTCTGCGTGATCTTCCGCTTGTTTCAAAGCCTCCTCCGCTTCTGTTGCTCTCATCTCGGCAGCGTCCCACTTGGACAAAAGCTCCTCCGTCTTTCTCTCCTGGACCATTGCTTGAGTGTCCATAAATGCACCTATAAATTGTATTGCATTGTATATTTTTCAATGAATCGGTAATCTGTATTTTTGTTTTCCAAAAGTCAGCATCAGCCGCAAAAAAATCCGTATCGGTCGAGCCCTAGTTTTTTCAGTCCAATAAGCAGTTAAGGATAAAATGGACAAACTGGTATGTGTTCATTATGTGTTCATTGAGGAGACTTATACTCATACAGCGCCAAATCCATTTTAAGAACCAATTTTCATCACGGCTGGCTTTGTCGTGTTCAGGAACTCGAATCACTCACTTCCGCCTCCCTTTTTGGGCACCTTCAGACTTTCCATGAAGAGTGTCTGCTTCTTCATTTCGTCTGTGTACTGCTCCACTTGCTCCCTCAGCGTCTTAATCTGATTATCTCGCTCCTCTAAAGCCTGCCGAGCATTTGTTCGTCGACATTTGTCTTCATTAGGGGCATATTCAGGAGAGGACGCCAGAGTAAAACAGTCGCCACCATACCTGCTCCAAGGCAAGACTGTTGTTTCTGTCCATGTCCAGCTGGGCTAGGCGCAACTTCTGCTGAAGGTCACGGATCATCTGCTGGTACAACATAATCTCCTCATCCTTTTCCGACAGCACTTTCTGTGAATAAATATCAAATCATCAAGGCTCCACAGCAGCAATGCGGGTTCACACATCTGCTTACCCGTGAGGACAAAGACATTTGCAACTCGTTCAGCAACTGAATGGATTTCTTCTGCCCTCGTGGAGTTTACTTGTTCAATGTCATCACTCAGTTCTTTTGTTTTTTTTAGGTGGCAGTCAAGTCAAAAAGCTTCTTTGCAATCATATGTGGCCTCATGAATGTAAATTTTAGATTCTGATTGATTTTTGTGTTCATGGAATAAGAAATAAAAAGATTAATCCACCCGTTTTGGATGGTTGCTTGATAAAATGGCCGCTTCAAACCAAAATGGCTGACTCATCATGTCTCTGTAGGCTTGGCTTCTTTAAACTTTTTGTCGGCCGACTCATGACAGAACGACGACCAAATTTCACGTTGCTAAGTTAAACTGGAGTTAGGGGCTGAATTTTGAAATAGATCTTGGCGGCACGACCTAACCAATTGCAAGTACCGGTAGCTTATTTTTGAAGGGCCACCGAAAACACACAAAATGATCCTAAAATGGCTCACTTCAAACTAAAATGGTCAATTTCTGTTTCTGTTGCATGACTTCTTGACACTTTTATATGGGCCTACCACCGTTCATGTTACGAACTGTAACAAGCTTCAGGGACGCAAAAAAGTGAACCACCAACCTTCCATTCCTCAACTTTGGCGTCCACTTCTGCCAAAATGGGGTCGTCCTCTTCCGCCATGTCAGTAATCTTCTGCGTCAGCTCTCTGACCTACACAGGAAGCACATGTCAGCAACATTGAAAACGTGTATAAAAAGTGTGTCTTTTGAGGACGGGGTTGACCTGGAGCTCGGCGCGATCCCTCTCTTTCCGCAGCTGGTCGGTCTCAGAGTCGCACTGGTGGACGGCCATCTTGATCTGGTTGTACTCATCACTCATCTTCTCCATCTCCTTGGTGGATTCCATCACACATTTCTGCATGCGGAGGTTGTCCGCTTTCAGCCGCAAGATTTCGTCCTCCGCTTGCTTAAAAGAAAAAAAAAAAAAAAAAAGAACACCACAAGTCTGATCACCGATGTAAAGACAAGAGGTGGTGAGTCGGGTACCTGAAGTTCGTCCATGCATTGGGAGAGCTGTCGGTTGGCCAAGATGAGCTTCTGCTGAGTCTCTGCGGTCTCCTCTTTGGACACATCCGACTCCTTAAGCTCCAACTCGCCGTGATAAAAGTCGACGTCCTGCTGGAGCTGCGTGTTCTGACCCAGGACACGTTTACTTTTAGATGACATCGCGGCAAACAAGACTTTGGATTCAAGCTCAAACAGGATGTTTTTTTTTCCTCGATGTATTCTTTGATCGATCCGCCAACTCAATTCCATTTCATGCTTGTGTTTACTTTTCAGCACCAACCGAGTTGTGTGATTGGTCAGCCAGGCCGTATGTCGTACCTCTCTTTTCAACATCTTCAGGTCTTCCTCCGCAGACTCCGCTCGCAAAAATAGCTATAGAAAATATCAAGGGAAAATGGCATTTACATTTTTTTGGGGGAATACTTTATGATGAAGTTGGAATAACTATTTCTCTTTATATTGTTTCCTATTGTGGGGGAAATAACCAGCAGTCCATAGTTACTGTTCTGTAAATTAATTAAATATTAAAACTGTATTTAAACCTTTAATTATTCGGCTAAGGCAGTTGATTACAGATTCTCATTTGTAATGCAAATCTGGCAGCAGATAGCAGAGTAAAACAAATCTGGACCACTGAGCCCCTGAAAGATTGAGAAACCAATAACACTGGACCGTGTCTTTGTTATTTTGACCATTTTTCATTTTCTGCAAATAAATGCTCGAAATCACAATTTGAAAAATCACATATTAGGAACGTGTAATTCCTGTCATCAGTTTATAAAATAAAACAGTTCTCTTTTATCAAACATCGACGTATAAATAGCAAGATCAGCGACAGGGATGATTTTGCAGCGATCCCTTCATTTTGTCCAGAACTGTAAAAGATAGAATGTAGCTAACAGCGTGTTCATACCTTCTCCGACGTCTTCTTCTCTCTTTTTATTTCTTTCTTCAGCTGGTTGACCATCTCCTCCTTGCGCCCCAGCTGGCCCTTCAGCTGCCGGATTTCATTCCTCAGAAAGCGGTTTTCTGGACCAGTGCCGGCATACTGGGGTGTAGTTAAGAGCGCCGACATATGAATTGATATTCCACCGACGAGATATGAGCATCCTCACGGGATTCACCGTTAGTTCTTCCTCCAGTCTGGACACCTTGGTGAGAAGCGTGTTTTCTGCACAGCACAGGGAATCATTGGAACCCATGTCAACATGGCAAAAGTCGTTGAGCATGCGTACAAACCATTTTTCTCTTGCTCTTCAACTAACTGTTCGGCCAAAGTCGCTTCCTGATGTTTCATCTGAGGAGACAAGGTCGCAATTACCACAGGTGGGCATTTTCAATCCGTCAGTGAGCCGCCGTCAGCGTTTCGGGCCGGCCCAGTCCGTCCGAGTCGTCGGCGAAAGGCAAACGGTGCCGAGAACGGATTTACCGGAACTACTTCACATGCAGCCAAACATAACACATTAAGTACACGTGCAGTACCTGCTGTTGGCCACAGCTCACGCTCACAGATTTACATGTAAACTCGACAACGTTACATGCCACAGCCCCGGCCCTGCCTCTTAAAGGCACATGGATGGAAACACACACACACACACACACACACACATACACACGCACACACACACACACACACACACACACACACACACACACCTTTGAAACGCATCCTTTTCCCAGCTATTTGAGGTGAGACAACAAGGCCTGGCGAATATCGGAGCAGAGTAACTCCAAGTATTTTAATGAAGTGTGAATGAATGCAGACGCAACAGATGAGAACACATGAGGTGGAGCACCTTGAGCAAGGCCTGAAACACTCGCAGTATGTGGACGACGTCCTCCTGAGCTTGCCGCTCCATCTCCCACTCTTCTGCCTCCAACACAAACACATCACAGAGGCCAAAGTAAGGAACACGTAACCGTTCAAATGATTCATTTAAACTTTGGAATGTTTTTTAATGCCAGCAGCCATGTCAAAAAAATATGATGTGCAGGTAATGTTGACCATGAAGCAAGTTGCGCTGCCAACAATCAGCAAGCAAGTAGGAGCTATGTTGTCCCGTAATATCAGCCCGTAGCAGCATCCACCTTGAAATAATCGCAAACACGTGCAGAATCGCAAATTCACGTGACACCGAAGCGAGTCTGCATATGGTTACCGAGGTGAGAAGGTCGATGAAGCTGTCCAGTTCATCCTTGTAACGCTCATGGAGGGTCGCTGGGTCCAGCTTCTTCACATCATCCCACTCCACAGCAGCGGGCATTTTGAGCTCTGAAATGTCCAAAACCACCAATAAAAAGGAAAAAATGAAAATAAACTTTGAGTTTCTTACTTTTCTATTCTATTATTATTCTATTCCATCGAGTTCTGCTCATAACTTTGATTAATCGCACTATATACATAAACAATACATTCCACTGCCTATGTTCTTGTGGCTTTGCCTTTATGACATCATGGAGACCAGGTTAGTAATATGGATGTCCTTCCTATGAAATGATAAAAATGTCTCAACATTAGTGGTGTAGTGGTACCTTGACTTTTAAGCGCTCTAAGCTTGTCTTCATGAAAGGCATGTAAGATACAGATAGATAGATGTTAAAAAACTCATTCAATAAATTATCACAAATAGAGAAAAAACATTTTTATTCATCCTTATTTCCAAGCTACTATTGTTCGCATTTCAACATTATTCTTAAATGAGCAACAGGAACTCACACTAGGTTACTTTTACAGCAGCCGTTAATTTTTTTAAATAATTCATGACAAAGTGTGTCAATTGTAGGTGTATTGTAATTAGTATTATAGATTAAAACTTCTTCAAGAGTTCTTGAACCTGACCTGAATCGATGTTCAATTTCTAAGAATCTAAGCACTGATTGGTCAGTTCCATTTATACAGCCAATCACAGGTGGTCATACTAAAACGTCACGATTACGCTTTATTTAGCTTAGCCGCTTAACCTGGCCCCGAAATTGACGAAACTAGTAATTTCAATTCACATAAATTTTAGATATTACTCAAACAGGCATTCGCATTAAATTACTTTGAAAACTGATATTTATTATTTTCTGTGTTGCAGAAAGTTACAACAATTTGTGAACTTATCAAACCAATGTGGTACATGTTAACCTCATCTGTGTCAAAATAGCAAGCCATGCTTACATAACCATAAAACATCTTTTCCTCGGCAGGCTCAAGGGAGTCGCTCCAAGCTGACCTTCGACAAGAGATTAACGGTGATTTACCACGCACCAGATATGCCAAATACAGTTCTAATTTATCATCAGATTGATAGAATTTGTCTTCATTTGATAAGGTCAAATAAAAATCTATTCCCACCAGAGCCTCTTGTCTGGTTGTGTTGAGATGATATCCAGAGTGAAGTATGGCGAAGAGGGAGTACATCTTGTCTAGTTTTGGGCGTGTAACAACCAATGAATCACAATGAGAAGCTCTTGTTTACTCTTAGGGCAATATGGTTACACATTTAAACAGGGTAGATATAAACAATGAATTGGAACAACTTTCTCTGTTTAAAAAAACAAAAACTGCGTCATTTAGTAGCAAAATATTCAAACTCAATATTACTTCTATCAAGGAGGTAATGTTTTCAGTCAGGTTGAGCCATTACGGAATGTCTTGTATTGAGCCATGACGGAATGTCTTGTATTATTATTGTTAATGTTGAAACATTGTAATCATGCACAAAACTGAGAATAATTGGAATAGTAAACAGGGCATTTTTCTCAAAAAGTGGCTGCAGCAAACTGATAGTGTCGCTCCACAATGTTGCGTGCGTCCACGGTTATGTTCCAGCAACTTCAGTCCATTTTACTCGGATTCGACGTTTATGGCATCTTTCATGTGTTCATGTTCCAACAGACTGACATGCAATCATTTCACAAGTTGTGTTTGTGGTCATGTTTACAATCCAGCTAGCAATTATTTGTTGGGCCCAATCTACAGTATTAAAAGACAACGTCTTTGGTGATAATTAGCACTTCGGTAGAGTCTGAGAAGCGGTGGCTCCATTTGTTCCAAGCAATCTGAATCTGCAGTATTAAAAATGATCTCGTGTAGCGTCGAGACAGTGTCTTTATTGACGATTAGTATTGCCATGGACTTCAACCTATGGTTGCTCCACAATGTTGCGTACGTCCCATTTTTATCTTCCAAGGAGCTTCACGACATTTTCTTCTCCTGGAATTTGCAGAGAAGCTGCCTTTAACAATGATTTGTGTTCTCCAAGACTCTGACTTATGGTAGTTACACAATTTTATGTCCAATGTGAAGTATTTGAAATGATCGAATATTGCGTCTTTAATGACAATAAGCCTTCCACTTGAGTCTCATATGTGGCCATGCCACAATGTCGTGTGTCATATTCCTGGCACGAATTGCAGAAATACAACAAAAGGAAATATTAAGTTCCATTTGGCAGCCATGATTTAAAAAAAAAAAAAAAAAAGTGTGAATGCTTCTCTGCCTTTGGATATGCTGTAGATTGTTTTCACAAGTCAAAGTGGATGTCGCGCAGACCGCTGAAACAGTGTCCATTGAGGTGGGATAATGACGCAAACAGGCTCTTGCTGTTGTCGCCCGCTGCAACCGCTGTCCCACCTACACGGACCACCACTGGCTTGCTGCCCAGGTGAGTGTTCCCTGCTGGCCACTCCAGGCCCAGGTGGTGGCGGTGAACCTGCCGAGAGAGAGAATATCCTCAAAATAGTGTATAACAAGGAGCACAAAGTGACAATGTATTCGTAGTCTACAATAGCTTCTGCCGCTTAGCTGCAAGTGCCGCCACCTCACCTTAAATAGCGAGCCGTCACCACAGTGCCACACAATACCCTCCACAAGACCCTCGGGGCTGCTGCAGAACCACGAGTAGAGCTGCTCGAAGTTTACCCGTGGAGGGTTTTGGATGCGGACACTCCCGTGGGACACCAGCAAGTGGATGGGTTGCTTCTTGCATCCCAAGCCTGTCAAAACATGGTCATAAATTCATGACTACTGAACCAAATTAAAACATTGAGCGCACTACAATTTGTTTTTATTCCAGTGGGAGATGCTAGCTACTAGATACTGCAAAATATAGCCACAATTCATCAGATTAAATTGGTTTATGAGTGACAAATCACTGACTACCTGACTAAGATGATATCATAACTGCCACAGACCGACATAACGTAATGTTTCCACAGCACTAAGAGATACTTGCAACAAGATACCATTAAATGTGGCCACAACGTGGAGATTTGACTATGATTGATGGGTCAGAAAAGGTATGGTCATAAATCAAATGACTACTCAACTAAAATGACAAATCTATGGCCACTGAGCATCACAATTTGGATATTTCCGAGCCAATAAGACAAACGAAATTATAAAACAATGACTACCATAAGGGTTTCCATTGATGTTGGTGCCGATCAGCTCCAGAGTTTGTTCCTGGAGGTCCGTTAACGGCACAGCGGCGATTTCCAACGTGTCGTAATCGTTGTTGGCGGCGGGACGAAGAAGCAGCACCGTCCCGGCACCATAATCCACCGCGGATGAGTGCCAACAGTACTGCTTGTTGCCATCTTCCACCGGAACCCAACCTGACATTTACAGGAAAACATTGTGCCGTTGTTTTGGGCATCATTTCAGTCTAAAAGGCTTTCGTACGAAGCGCCTTGTATGCCTTTTTCCATGTCGCTGTTCCGAATAAACGGCATTGACATGAAATGAAGCCCCTTTCATAATGTCTGTAAAGTCAGCAGACCTGGAATGTGTCCATGTTCATCAGGGACGGGATGACCGTTCTGATGTTTGACTCGGTGAGCCGGGATCCATGTGTCCGGCACCGTCTTAAAGTCTTCTTCCACATTCCACGTAAAACCTGGAACACAGTCCACAAAAACCTTTCTAAGACACTAAGAGCCTACGAGCTATCACTAAATCAGGTGTGTTGCAGTAGGGAGAGATGGAAAAAGAAAAGCAGAATAACAGCCCTCAAGGACTGGAGTTTGCCCCCTGTGCATGAGAACGTCTGTCCAAATCGGATTTTGATGGATTGAATTGAGAAAAAGAAGTTAACAATAACCTGACTACAACCTCACAGACATACTCACAATTCATTTTTTCTCAAAGACTGGCTTGTGACGCTCACTAAGTTACCTTTGGAGCTCCTGTGAGCATACTGATATTTCTTGAATCTCTTCTCTGCTTGTTTATTGGCTTTCCTGTCCAGTCGAGCCCAGAGGTGCAGTTTCCCTGAAAGGACAGAGGGGGGGGGACAGATCTTTTACCACAATTGGCCAGAATGTGATGAGGGGTTTTGTCAGGAATTGTCACCTTTGTAGTGCGTAACGTAGCAGCAGGTGCCGTCCAGTTTCTCTGTGGCCAGTGCGCTGTTGATGTCAGCTTCCAGCACGTCAGGGTTCAATATGGTGGTGGCGACCATGTGAAATGGCTTAAAAAAAATAAAACATCAGCACAAGGAGAATCTTTGACTGAACCTCACATTTTTTGCCTTTTTTTACCCCAGAAAGCAACAATGTTCAAATGGCTCTGACAAGGTATTAAGGTATTCCATCTATTCCACTTTTGAGGTACTGTTTATTTGTAAGGGCCAAGGGGGGTATTTAACACCCATCATTCTAATGGCTGCGTAAGAAACAAACCACAATATACCATTTTGCAGGGTTTTGTGTGAAAAGCACCAATAAAAGCAGGTCCTTTTCTTTTAATCTTTTTTTTTTTCTTATTAAACACCTTTGAAAAAGGCTCATGACTCTGCCACTGCCTAATAAAGGGCGATGAGGTTTAACATGCAACATTCTGGTAATGAATGAGGACCATTTGCTTTCTACACGACAGAGTGGGTCAAAATCGTGACACTCGCTCGGACGTCACGCAAATTTAAGATTGTAGGACAGTTTCTGGCTCAAACCACTCACAATGACAGGCAATCAATCCCACGTTAACGTCGTTTAACACATTAGCTTCATCGTCGCTTTTTCTCGTCATGCACACACTCACTTGGCAGTCACGTTTCTTGGACGGTTCTTCTTTGACTTCCGTCATAAAAACACATGATACCTTCTGCTGAACCGAGCCGAGACGTCGCATATTGCTAGCCCTGCCAAAATAAATAACACTATTAAAATATACTATAATCGATTAGTATTCCGAGTAGGAGTGGAGATCCGTATTTTGATTGAAAGCCACCGTGAGTATTTCCGGACACGTGACGTGCCCCTTCTTCTACGATTCGTAGTGTAGTGTTACGTCACTTTTTGCTCTTCGCGCATGACAGGCGAGCTTTATAATATCTAAAATAATACTAGATAATAATATTGGCTTCCAGCGCGGTGACACGGGGGAGAGCAATGTTTTTTTTTTGTTGTTGTTGTTCTTGACAACCGGGGACGTGCCCCTTCTTCTACGATTCGTAGTGTAGTGTCACGTCACTTTTTGCTGTTCACGCATGACAGGCGAGCTTTATGATATCTGAAATAATACTAGATAATAATATTGGCCTCCAGCGCGGTGACACGGGGGAGAGCAATGGTTGTTTTTTTTGTTGTTGTTGTTCTTGACAACCGGTACATCTGACGTGTATTTTCGGACACGACCGATGGCCGTCATCATGTGGCAGTCATTTCCCACTTAAAAAAAAAAATCTTTATTTGAAAAACGTAGTAGAACATACAATAAAAATATTTTTGATTGACAATGACTGTCAGAAAAGGATTGATGAAATAATATTTTCATGAAACCCCGCTCATTGATGGGTTCACACAAAGCATGATGTCACTGGAGTACTTTGCGTCTCCTTCCTCCTCCTCCTCTTTTTCCTCTTCCTCCTCGTCATGGTAGTCGTGTTCTCGATGAAGAGCCGTCCGGCTGTTGGTTGGCTTCCACATCTCGGCTTCCACATCATCCCCCTGCAGGACTTGCGACCTACAGGGCCCATTACTCCTTTCCCAGAAGAAGAGAATGATAAATAATGTTTTGTATAATAGGCATCTCAAAAATAATGTTATTTTTTAATTCCCCCACCAAAGTCTTTGGATTTATATATAAAATGAAACAACCCACCAAAATTGGTAACTAATGATTTTGATCCAAAACCATGAGAGCAGTGTATGCTTTGCCAACACTTTTTTCCCTCCCAATAACAGAATGTCAACTAGACAACAAAAACTGACTTTCGTGTTCATACTAATACTGTAATAATGAATTAAACTTACAATTTATAGTAGTAACACAACGCTCCAGCCACTGCCGCCATTATGAAAACGATGCCAAGGACAATGAGCGCCATCCAAACTGCTAAAAATAAATGAATAAAAGAGAAACAGACTATCTCAGCGAGCATCATAAGGTTAAAAACAGATGGTGTGTTTTGACTTTTCTTTGCAAGTCTAGTCTTAACCACAACAGAAATAACTGTTTTGTTTTTATTGTAAACAGAGGCTCGGCAGTCCATCAAATTCCATTTAGATCATATGTTCAAACTACAAATATTAGATTGAAAAAAAAAACAAATACGAAATAAAATACAAAATTCATAGAAATAATACAAGACAAATTATTAGAAAAGGAAGACAAAATATTGTGGGAGATGAGAGGGTTTCAAAAAATTTAGAAAATGATTACAAATATTTCAAAATAATGCCTAGTGTTATAATAAAATACTTGATAAAAAAGAAAATATTAAATAAAAAATATTTGGGGAAAATGTCAAAACAGCGACAAAGCAACATATCCGACAAAAAAAAGAAAATATTATAATATGTAAAACAAACTATAAACTGCTAAAAAAATAAAGAAGATGGAAGTACAAAGTACAAAAATATTTTTTTTAAATGAGACATTTAGTGTAAGAATGTTAAAAAAATGCAACTTGAAACATGACATGCACTGATCAATAAATGACGGCCATGGACAAATAAATTCACTTCAGACATACCTTTCAAGGGTGCCTCGGTGGGCTTCTGGGTTTGCTGATTAGATGCATGAGTCGGAGCTGAGGTGAAGGACGAGGAGGAGGAGAAAGAGGAAGTGGGTGATGAAGTGATGACATGAGAAGGAAGAGCATCCCCGGACGAGAAGGAGGAAGAGGCATGGCGAGGAAGAGCTGGAGAGGAAGTGGAGATCGGGACTTGATGGGACGTCCAGTCAGGTGGCGTTGTTGTGGTTGTCGTCTGTGAATAGGAAGGCGGCGATGTTGAGGATGGGAGTGAAGGTGCAATGGCCGTTGTCGTGGACGAGGTGAATGTTGGCGGGGTGGCTGTTGAGCAGAAAAAAAACCCACTGTGCATTAATTGCAAATGTTTGGTGGTAGACAACTAGTTTTCCCAGTAGTTATCAATACAAAAAAAAAATTGCAATAAAAATAATAATTAAAAAAGGAAGGTACAGTATTTGGGGCCACATAAATACACATTACACAGAAAGAGGAAAATAATTCATCAAAAATAATAGGCATTAGATACGATTTCCCAAAACAAACCCAAATGTGATAAAAATGCAAAAAGTGCTTCTCGAAATAAATCATATCTGTCCCAAAGAGCTAGAATAGCTAGTTGATAGCATGACTTGATTTTCTTTTCATTTGTACACTTAGTACCTGTCGCAGTGAAGCAGAAGACCCCAAAGGCCTGCTCCGCCCTGGCGTTCCACTTGACCAATCCCGTTTTGCCATTCCCGCACTTGCTGCTCGCTGTCAGTCGCGGGACGACGGCCACCTGTTCCGCGACCCAGCCGAACCTGGGAAGGTGTCGCAGACGTCACACTACAACACCTCACAGCTTAAGTTTAGATGCTTAAAAGCCACCGTACCTCCTGATTGAGGCGGCACATACCGGTAATTACACCATAAGTAACATTTGAAAGAGCAAAAATTATGACAGATCTTTCATGGCACATTTCAGTAGATGTGGTTAGCCACATACTGATTTTTGATCTTGTGACTAGTTCACTTTAATCTCAATCAGGGGTGGGCAACCTACGGACAGCGGGCCACCAAGCATATCTCAAAACTACGCCCTGACTTACATTTTCAACATTAAGTTACAGTATGTGTTGTTGGGCTGTTTTGCGACTTTCAAAAGAGAACTTCAGAGTTTGTCATTTCTTCACCACATGAGGTTACTACATCAACTATATAATAAAAGCTCAGGGTTGCGGTCAATAAGCCCTCTAATATGATATTCGTTGTTGTGGTTTGTCACAAAGTGAAGTTGATGACGAGAAAAGATGGAGAAGCCATGCTAATTGTTAAGCTAGCTTAAGATTGGCACCCCTAGCGCATTTAACACCGCAAATAAGTGCTTGGGTGATGGATTTCACTGGAACTGTGCTATAGTGGAGAACATCTGACTTTGAACAGTAAAATAGCAGCGGAAATGAATAAGTGTCTGAATTCTGGAGAGAAAATTATACATGCTAAACTGAACCACAACTGGAAATGAATTAACGTCAACCAGGAGGAATGGTCGAAAGGCTTAAAACCATATTAATATCCCAATTTGGTGTGATTACCTTAAACATAGTGGGCAATTTTATCCATCCATCCATTTTCGAATGTGCTGCAATCTATCCCAGCTATCTTCGGGCAGTAGGCGGGGGACACCCTGAACCGGTTGCCAGCCAATCGCAGGGCAACATATCGACGAAGAATTCCACCGAGGGACAATTTAGAGTGTTCCATTAACCTGCCATGTGGGAGGAAACTGGAGTACCCGAAGAAAACCCACGCAGGCACGGAGAGAACATGCAAGCTCCACACAGTAAGGCCGTAGCCGCAATCGAACCCTGTACCTCTGCAATGTGAGGCCGACGCGCTAATCAGTCAACCACCATGCCGTCTGGGCAATTTTATGCAGAAGAAAATCATGTTTTTTGGTTATTTTATTCATCTCATAAGGTCATACCTCTAAAGTGAACATTAAAGCCGTTAATATGACGTGTGAGTCAACGTGGTGTGTCCCATATGTCTTTTTTTTTTTTACCTCCTGCAATTCTAAAAACAAACAAAACCGAACTGCTCTAGAAGCAACGAAGCCACAAACTTGCACGTCTCCAGGCCGTGGCGCAGCGCCTCCTCCACGTTGGCGATGGTGGCCACGGTGGCGTGACGCGAGTGGCAGGCAGCGGGCGCGGCGGTAAAGTTGAAGGTGTAAGCTCCGCCTTCGATAAACAGGAAGACCCCGGCGGCGCTCTGACCTTGGGAGGCTACGGACAGAACGCATAAACGTGATGTCCAGAACTGGATTCATATTTGACATGTCACAAAATCGTGTGTGGACGCCAGTTCTGATTGGCCGCTTCTTTTGGGTATTTTCAGATATCCAATAAATACCGTCTTTACATTTGACTACTCAACATAACTCAACTGTATTTATAGAACACTTAAAAAAAACAACGCTGTATACAAAGTGCTGTACATGGAGTCAAAAATAATTCATACAACAAACAATAATGCAATAAATGAAGAACCAAGACGGTAGAAAAAGCATGATTTTTCACCTGCACTTCAAAGCATTCACACTTGGTTCTGACTTCACTTCTGTTGGCATCTTCTTCCATTTGCATGCAGCATAACAGCTAAATGCTGCTTCATCGTGCTTTAGGCGCACCTTACTTGAAACCCAAATTATTAAACCCAACACACGCTCCTCCCTTCAAAAAAGAAGAAATGGCTGTTGCCCCTAAATAATGGAACTGATCTACAGCGGACAGTTGTGCTCATAAATTTCCCGATGAGAATTTGTAAAATATGTTCAACACTTCGTCAGTTCACAAAAGCACAATCATCAAATTAAACAAAACAATCAATAAAACAATGACATGGACCCCCATTCAGTCTTGTTTTTCTCATTTAAAAAGGTTTGACAGGTTAGATACATTTATTGCCACAACTGCATACAGGATCATAACATAATTCGTGTGTTCCTAATGAATTGTCCAAAAGCATTCACATTTAAAGGATCTCTTCATTCATATTCATGCACCCATGACAGAATCATCACCGGGCTCAAAGCGTAGCCTCCATTTATTTCGGGTACCTGTGAGGAGCGTGGAGGTGAGCGTCAGCGTCAACAAGCGGGTCAACATGTTGGAAGCGGTCGCGTCCACCGCCACCGCGATGTTCTACCAAGCCAGGACACAAAGCCAATGCGGCGGACAAACAAAAAAGCGGAGCGAACGCGACGGTTGATGGGAGGAAACAGGAAGTGGAGGTCAAATCTGCAGCGTGGCCCACTGACCAGATAACCACCAAGACCTGCACTGCGATCTATCTTTTTGCTGTTGTGTTGTCAAATAAAACTCTCTTTAAAGTCGTTTCCTGCTATGGAACATCATCACAATATGATTTAGTTAAGTCTCTGTTTGAAAATCATGGATTTGTCCTCCACCCCACCCCTCAACCTCCTTCGCTTTTTTTGTGCTTGGTCAGCTCTAAATGCCCGTTGGGAAAACTGGAATTTCCGCCATAGTGTTCCCGTTGTTCATCTCACCTTAACTGTAAAGTTCATTTGGAGGACTAGCGAAACGTCCCGAGCTACGGGTCGTGACCTTTGAAAGAACAAGATCCCGGACACAAGCGGCCGAAATGAGCTTTCTCCATAGGGTGTCTGGGCTGTCTCCCTTAGAGATAAGGTGAGAAGCTCGGTCATCCGCGGGAGGGGCTCAGAGTCGAGCCGCTTCTCCTCCATGTTGAGAGGAGCCAGATGAGGTGGCTCGGGCATCTGATTAGGACGTCTCCCTGGTGAGGTGTTCGAGAATAGTGAATAGTTGAGAACACCTTGGTGACACGTTTATTTTAGAGCGATTTCACAATACAGTAGGTTATTCATATAGTTGTGTTGAAAGTAATGGTCAGTCTGTGATTTTCTACGTTACACCATATGCTAACCTCATACAATTTCCTGTGTCAAATCAACTCTGAAATTTCTATTTAGCAGTGTCCGGCATGAAAGCTGGCCTTTCCCCAGTGTCCATAATTTGTGCACCGACAAGTCAATCCCCGCAAATTTCAAACTTGATCGTGTCAGAGCCTTTGTGTGACCAAATTTTGACGCAAATTAACTGAGTGGATCTACCACCTATTTGCCTCTCTCGTGTCCAACCAATTAACCTTCCTGCTGTGTTTCCTCAACCCTCAAATTTGTCCTGTTTCCCAGAACCATGTTCCGGGTGAGCGCACCGCAATCCCCGTGGGACGCTGGGCCTGCCCACTTTGGCGAGCTGTCCCCTTTTGAGGGATCGCACCCCGAGTCGGCAACAGGCCAGGAAGCAAGTGGAATATTTTTGGATCCCCACAGACCAGGAAGAAGTCAACCATTCAGACAAGTGATAGTTTTTATTGGTGTTCATTTAGTGACTTTATTGACATTAAAGCAGGTGCACAATCATGAATGAGGATGTTCACTTACAATGACTCAGCAGTTTTTAAGTAAGGGGAGATGAGTAAGGAGAACTAGGAGCGGGGCACTTGCATCATTTTATTTCATTCACTGAAACGTTAAAAAACAAAACACAAACATGATCAGCGTTGTCATTTGTTTCACTTAAATTAAGGGATCACTGCCGTATGTCATGAAAACGGCAGCAAGGACCGGAGCACTCATCAACTGCAGTTGGGTGGGAGGCCTTCATTTTAGGACTATCGTGTAACAAAATTTACCTCAAATGAAATTGGGTTACGAGGGAAGTCGACGCACAGCATTGTGGAGCAACCGGCACGCTAAATGTAACAAGGTAACTTCTCAAATCAGCCACGGGAATGAACCTGTATTTGTTGTTTTAAAATACAAATGCAATCTGAAGATTCGTTGTAACGCAAAATCGGCTTCAATACAGCTCGGGCCAACTAGCTTGGTAACGTGCCTCACTGAGTGCTGCTGTTTTGGCGAGTGACTTCCAAAGAATGTCAAGAATGCCAATGATTATACGCTGTGTAATTGTTGTTTCTCACGTGACTAATTGGGGCCATTATTTGAAGAAATACGATATCAAGCACAGCGCATCGGGCTTTAGGTTTCAGAAAGGGCACAAAATGCCTGTCTGAAGAGGTAGAATGTCACCGGTGACTGGTTGAGGAGGAATTTTGACGCAAAAAGTTCAACACGGGCCATCGAAACCAAATATTACAGCCTTGATGGTTGCCCCAGAGCGAGTTAATTCGTCGAAAGAAGGTAAGAGGAGTTAAAAAGGAAAACAAGAACAAAGTCATGTCACTCCACACGTGTCGACAGAACGGAAGGAGGAAGGGGAGAGGAGGGTTTGGATGTGGTGGTGTTGCTCGTTAGTGGTTGGTTAATCGATCAATCAATGGTGGAGGTGAATGCAAAGGAAAAGGCAAAATGTCATCTTGTGCGGCTGGCGCCTCTTCAATCGCCGTCGTCCTCAGACTCCTCTTCCTCGGCCGTCTCCAACCACGTGAGCCACTGATTGACCTGAAGGAAGACCACAATTGAACTCAGTGGCGCTTTCCAGTGTTTTTCAAAATCAGTATGAGTTAAAAAAAAAAAAAAGATTGGTCAAACTCCTGTTTGACTTCAGCTGCGTAGTAAATGGCAAAATCGAGAGTTTTTGCTGTCACCATTATGTTTTACGATACTCAAAATTCCTAAGATTTATTTTGATTCAATATGACAGCCTGTGTGGATGACTAAAGAAATCAGAGAATTTTTACTGTTGAGAAGCTGAAATTGTGGACAATTTTAACTTAAAAAAAATATCGCGATTGAGGTCATCTGTGCCATGCTCAAGCCCGCTTGACACCAACGTTATGGTGTGTCGATGTTATTCATGACAAATAAATGATGAATAGAACTAATCGAGCTCAAGTATCATGGTATGCTCGGCGTAGGCCTGCAACTGCCAATTTTAATAACTGACGAGACCAATTTCCATGCAATAAAAATAAAAGTTTATATATGTTTTTAAAGTACCTGGAACAAAGCTTTTCCTTTCCCAGGGAATTCTTGGGTGATGTCTTCTTTCCATGCTAGGAAGGCTTCTTCTTCAATGATCTCCATGTCGTAGAAATTGACAAAGTAGCGCAGCAACATGCCTTGAAAAACAAAACGGCACTAAGTATGCGTTTTTTTGGGGGAGGGAGTAAATAAATAACTTTCCCACCGAACCCACCGGAGCAGGATCTGAGAGTGTCTTTGCGCTTTCACATTTTCGCAAAATTTGACTGGGGTGTACCTAATAAAGTGACCCGGGGCGGGTGGTCATAGCGTACCTTTGGGGAAGCCGTTGGCGTTGCAGTGCACCTGCAGGGCGTAGAGGGCGCTGACCTGCAGCTGGGTGTGGTCGTGCAGGAACTTCTGCATGACGGGTTTGAAGGCCAGCAGCAGCGTCTTCTCCTGCTCCAACTGCTCCTTGGAGGGGGCCGACAGCTGCTCGTCGCCCTCGGACATGCACAGCTCTTGGGCAATGTACTGCAGGAAGCTGAGGTGAGAAAAGAAGGTTTCGATTCAAGATGTGAAGGCAAATAGGATTTTTTCTTCAAGTTTTTGGGCTGGCCGACAGCTGTCTCTCACACAGAGTAGATCCAGTTCTGCAGTTAGCAGTGGTCTGTAATCTTCAAATATAGAGAAAAGCTCTCCACAGAACATAAACAAATTCATTTGGAGTAATGGCACCTATTTTTCTGACAACCAGGCTTCTCAATCTGCCCACCATCACCTTTTTAACTAACCTTGAGGCCAATGTCAAATGTCATTTTTAGTTGTGTGTGTGTGTGTATATATATATATATATATATATATATATATATGTGTATATATATATATATATTTTTTTTTGGTCATGTTGCGGGCCGCAAAAAAATGGATTGTGTGCCGCAAATCACACCTGGGCCATCTTTTGGAAAATTGGTTTATAGCTATTATCCAAAAATTATGTGGATAATTTAGAGAAATTAGTGTTGTAATCGGTGTGAAAGTCTTTAGATTATAATCTAAAAATGTTTTTTGAATATTTTTTAGGGTGGGGAGGGAGGTTGTTGAAACTTTACCGTGGTTTTAAAAAGGTTTCAACAACCGCTAATACTGTCGGCTCAACATTTTTTTCCAGAGAACTCATAAGCAAGGCCCAATATGATTGCCTATTTGCAGAGTTGAGTAAACGAAACAACTCTCAAGTTAATTGATAATATTTTTTTTGGTCTTGTTGTCAGAATCTACTATCAGCTCATGCCTCGTTCAGATTTTGTTGCTTTCTACCTTACCTGGTCATGAGGATGTTGACGAAACCTTTGTCGGTGTGGAGCTTGGGGGAGATGTTGTCCTTGATCCACTTGTAAATGGACTGTGGAGATGGGTCTGCCGTGATCTGCTTCAGCAGCTCCTTCTCCAGCTTGAGCAGCGGGAACAGGAAGCTCAGGCCCTTGCCCTCCAGGATCTCCAGCATGCGATCCCTGTTCTGGTCGATTTCTAGACAGTGGACAAGGGTTTAGCATGGATGCTACACCTTCCGGAGCTTACTTAATGCGTCTTCAAAGAAAACTTCAGAATTTCAACCGGGCTAACTTCATGCTATGGTCGATTGTGATTGACCATTGTCGAGCAGCACCGAAAATGGACGGCCACGAAGCACCTACCAGGCAGCATCTTCTGCATGTTGACTTTGCTCTGTTGGAAGATGTCGGTGAGCCACTCGCGGTCCTTCAGCTTGGCGGTCTGCTGCAGGCAGAGCAGGAAGAGCGGGAAGTGGGTGCCGTTCTCCAGCGGGTGCGCCAGCTCGGCCACGCTCAGTAGCTCGGCGATGACGGCCCGCGCGACAAACTGGGCCAGGTAGGACTTAACCAGGGGCACGTCGACCTCGATCTTGGGGCACTGGTCCAGGACATTGAGGAAAGCCTGTAAAAAGAGAGACGTGACCATGCGGCCATGTTACTGGAAACAAAATGAGAGCATTTTTGACACCATGCAGACCTGCATGAAGTTCTCAGCTGTGATGAGTCCGTCGACGCGCAGCGCGTGGATGAGGGTGCTGGCGTGCTCTTTGTCCTCGTCAGGTCGGTCCAGAGAGCACACGATGATCTTGCTCAGCATCTCCGACAGGAAGTGCTTGGGCGCCTTCATTTCGCGCACGCTACTGACCGCCTCGCTCAAGTTCTTGCTGGTGAAGTACTCGCTCATGGTCGCCTCCTATGGTAATCCATTAAAAATGCATCATTATCTCTTCAACCTTTCATGAAAGTCTCATATCGGCACATAAATTAGGCAGTATAGTGAACCACCATATATTCCTGGAACACCGGTGTGTCTTTTAAAGATCAGAAAGAATCTATGCTGTCAAAAACACAATGTGACCGGCCGATTTAGTTTGGAGGTGTTTTTTTTCTACTTATGATACTGGTTGACCTACCGTCATCTTCAGCAACTCCTCCCTGGCAGGAGGCGGTTTCTTGTTGGTCTTGGGAGGTTTCTCTTGAATGGGCGGCGGGTTGGTTTTCAAGCCAAGCTGAGGGGGCTGCGGTGAAGAGGTGTGCGATTAAACACACAGGGTGTTGAATTATTATTGTTATTATTTTTTTATTACTCATATCTTTTTGCTTCCTTTTATGCCAAGAAATGACCTTCATTTATTTTCTTTCATTAAACTTGGACTCATATGTATTCAAATAAACACCTACAACAAAACAAAATGAGTCGTGGTCAGTGAGGGAATGAGTACAGTGGTACTTTCTTCTGAGTGCCTCAAATCAAGAGTTTTTCACATTGCGAGCAGTCCACGGATCGCTTTTTGGCTTCGTGTCGCGAGCCAAATTTTGCATGACGAGCCACTTTCACAAATACGGCTGCTCAAGTGAAGCAGGGGGGGAAAAAAGGCGACACACACGCACACACTTTCAGCCAAACAATTAGACAAGGAAATCACTCAAATAGTACATAGCAGAGGTGGAAAACTGCCAATTGAGCTGGAGCCAGAACTCCTGATGACGGTCACAAAGACCTTTAAAGCACACTAGCAAGCGAGTGCTCAACGGTGTGTGTACATCAGCTTAATTTAATCACTAAAAAAAAAAAAAAAATCAGCATATTAAAAAAATGGCATTTCACTTACGAGGAATAAATTGAGTTACAAGCTTGGCCATGGCACAAATTCATCTCGTAAATGTGCAAAGGTAGCATTGTACATTTTGATGGGACAGCTTGTCCAGTTCAAAGTGACACCTGCACAAGACCTGCTCACCTGTCCCAGGGGTGGAGTTTGCGTGCGAGGGGGCTGGGCGCTGGGAGGCATCATGGAGGGGATCTGCGGTGTGAGTTTGGGAACCTGGCTCTTGTTGAGGAGGAATGATTGAGCTGGCCGCAGGCTGATCTGCGGGAGGACACACACACACACAACACAAAAAAAGGGCATTTATTCATCACATCTTAAAACAAATCCACCACCTCAGCACCAACTGCGGTCATGCCCTCAGATCTCATAATCACAGTCAGAGGACCACCAACCAGTGCGAGGAAGAAGAGCAGAGGAGGAAAGAGAGAAAGGTGGAGGAGGAGAGGACTGGTGGCAGTTTGCTCCCTCAGAATAACGCGTCTTTTTATCATCAACGAGCATGAAGGGGGGAGGAGGAGCGCACGCTAACGGGTGCAGCGCAGACCTCATCAAGTTACCTCATCCGCATTGAGCTGTCCTTTCTTGCTGAAGCGTGGGGGCAAGTCCTTGGACGGGACCTGCTGCTGTGCCGCGTGGTTCTGGCTCTGGCTGAGGAAATGCTGGTTCTGAACCTGCACGGACAGAGAGGAGAGTGAGACATCTGGGAATGGGATGACATGTTAAGAGGAGGTAAGGTGCTCGCTTACCTGGTTGGACTTGACGAAGGACGACTTGGCCCCAATGTCGAACTGCGATTGTGGCTGAGGAGCGATGTGGCCGTTGAAGAGCGGGTTGGTGCGATGGCGTCCCATGGTAGGAGAGTACCTGTCCTGGATGACTCCCGGTCCTGTTCCAATACCACTGCCTGGAGGAGGGCCACATGTTAAAAATGTAAATTTGATTGTGGAGTCATCTTTGCAAGTCATAAAATATGAACGCAATAAAAACAATGCACTGATTTTTGATCAGGTGGAATCTTTGGATAAAAAGTTACTTCATGTCGTTCCTGCGGATCTTCCTGAGGATTTTAAGTAAGTTAAATTGTAAACGTTTTGTGGCCATCACAATATATCGCAGGTGAAATTTACCCGATACAAAGTTTATTAAGAAATAATTTTGTACATGGAAAAACAACATGAAACCTAATTTTTGTTTTCTTTTTACGACACAGGTCAACGGGCGGAAAAACGAAGTGATTCACACAGACTGAAATCTTCTACTTTTTATCATTTTGATGATTTCATCTTAAAGCACTTGTTTCAAATTTAAGGCCTGGATTCATCTCATCACGTCACTTTAAGTGGCTTGCTCAGGCTAATCCCGTGCGTCTACCTAATGTTTCTTGCTAAACATTTATACCAGAATTGTAAATTGTCTCCACTTTTAACACCCCTGGCTTACAGCGAACAAGACAAACCACACAATGAACTAAGAAATTAGCATGTCACGTAATAACTGAAAACGAGTTTTAAAAAAAAACCCGATCTAAATATAGTTATGATTTTGAAAACAGATATATGACATATTAAATATTGAGGATTCAAGTCAATATTAACTGACCAGCTAGTAATGGCGTTGCGGTGAGGATAGTTTTTGGTTTCTTTATATATAATTACTGACTTTGCAGTTGGTCATAATGACCCTTGAGTATTTTGGATGCAGTTTCAGCATATGAGAAGTTGATTAAAAAAAAAAAAAAAATGGGTGTATCGTGGCTCCATTTCCTGACTACTCATACCCGGCATTTGTCCAAACATGTCGGCCAATCCGCCCAGCGTCTCCCTGTCCAATTTCATTCTGTTGGGCATGAAGGGGCTTTCCAAGAAGAAGTCCATCCTCATGCCCTGCGACATTGGTGCTGGGATGAAAACGCCCAAATCCTGCAGGTAAAAAGATGCCAGTTCATCAATAAATAAATAAAAATATCACCAACGCAGAGATGTTCTGCTCGGGAATGTGGCGCGCTCATCCAAGACCCGCTAACCTTCACCGCGTCCTGTCGGATTTGGTTGATCGTCTTCGGTCCGTTGTCGAGGAAAGCCTTGCGGGGGACCCAGTTGTTCTCTCGCAGCTCCACTGTGTCTTGCAGCAGGAAGCGTATCCTCGCTGGCAGATCCTTGTTGTTCATTAAGGATCGCATACGGCCAAAGTACTGATCCATTAAAGACTGTGGAAACAGAAAAAAAAGGCTTAAATTGACACAAAGGATTATTGTGCACCACAGCAAAAGCTCCGGTTAAACATATTAAAAAAATAAAACAGGTACATTTTTCTTGTGGAAAAAGAAAACATGAATCGATGATCACATCTTTTTAGAATCGATGGTCCTATGGATTATTCCAATGAATACTCAAGACTTGCTGCTAGTTGCTTTTTTGAAAAACAGAAGACAAGGATTGGTTCGTTGTTCGCCCTCATGCTGCAAGTGGTTCTCATGGTAACAAAAGTCCGACTCGGCCTTTGCAAAATGGCGCGATGGTTAATTGTGCTGTAATTCTTGATACTTTGTGTACTGTGACTGAAGGAAGTCACTGGCCTTTATAGACACCTGGCAACCATTAAGCATGAAGAACACAATACTCTACGTCAACTTTAGAAGATGGAAACAAGTGGAAAATGAAGCCAAATTGAATGTCTCCCCTAAGAGGCAACTGTGACATCTTTCTGATTGCGGTTACCTTTGCTTTCTCATGGTCGAGTCTCGGCCCGACAGTCCTCATTATCTGACAGAGACACTCCAGATCCTCGCCCATATCCTTAAGTTGGACTCTCTTCTTCTTTTCCAGAAGCTTTAAAAAAGGAGAGAGGGTCACACAATTTTCGCCGAAGGACATCTTTTCCAAAGATCCGAGGAGGATGTGTACCGTTTTGATGCACTTATGAAGGATAGATTCGTGGATGAGGTCAAGTTTGCCAAGTTCCCCGATGAATTTAATGTTGCCAAGCATCTTGATCTTGGCAATGGCTCTCTGCTCTTCCTCCTCAGAAGTAAGAGGGTTGTCGTGCTTGTCATAGACTGATGGATGAGACGAGGCGGTTAGTCGGGACAGATTAAATTGAACCAACGGGCAAAGCCACTTCTCATCAAGTCGACGTACTTTCAACATTTCTGGCGCGGTTTTCAAATTCATCTTGAAGCTTGGAAATCAGCAGTCTTCTGAAGGTCTGGAAAAGCAGCACCGTCAGCGTGGAAAGTTAACCATTTTTTTTTTCAACGAAAAAAGGGTATAGAATGCACATTCAAAGCTGTAACGATGACGCAAATAGTGAGTGGCCTGTGATGTTTAGTAAGCGTGTGTGTATGTAAAATACGTCGCCGCCGATAGAACCAACGGTGAAGGAATTCCACGCACTGTGCTCTGCTTTTGGGAGGTTTGGCTCTCGGTCGAAGGGCCATCAAAGTTTGGTGCGTCCTCTGCCAAGCGCAGACATAGCTGAGCATAGAGTGAGCTATACTTGGGCTCTTCTAGGGCTTTGTCCACAATCTGCACGACACAGAACAAGCGGTCGAGAGTCACCTGGTGAAAGCTTGTGCGTCGCCATCCGAGTGCTGCGCGTGCGTGTGCATGTACGTACCAGCAAGATGATACCTTTAAGGACGAGTTTGGAGTCTACGCCCACGTTGAGGAGCTCAAGGCATAGCTTGTCAAACTTATCAGGCGTGAGTTTGTTGAGTATGCTGGAGGAATGAGAGCACATGGCGCCTCAGTGTGACGACGAAGAATAAAACAAGTCATCTTCGTATTTAAATGCCACACAATGCAATGGACCGCACTGGTTCTGGCACAAAGTTGATTGTTGGCTAATTGTCTAATTGGCCAATTTACATCAGAGTTTTCAATCTGCTTGTGTGAAGAGGTGAAAAAGCACGCTCGCTTACCCTCTCACTTTCCTGAAGATGGCATCGTGCCGCTCTTTTTCGTTGCTGGAGTTGGCATCTCGTCTAGTGCTTCGTGAAGGAACCCATCTCTGAACGCTTTGCCCTGGGGTTTTCCCCAGGAACTCGCTGCGCAAGCCCAGAGGAGACCATTCATATTAACACACACCCACACCGTACCATTTCTTCCCCAAAAATAAAATTAATTAAAAAAAAAAAAAAACAAGCAAACAAACATGACTTCATAACTTGAAATGACAGTTGTGGGTTACAGGTGAGGATTAAAGCATCTGTGGATGACTGTGGACATGTTACAACAAGCGCTGGAGAACGGTTGAGGTGGTGACACACCTGTTGCCGACAGTCTTGGGATAGTGCTGAGGTGCACCCCTACCACCTCCTCCCCCCGAAGAAGCACTGCGCCAGGGAGCACAAGCAAAATACAAGCTGTAAGACTGACAACAGAATAAGACTTTATTTGTCACAATGTGGCAACTGTGCGTGAATAAATTAAATACTGCATGCAGTTGATGCTTGCCTCACATATGATTAAGAAAGCATGGTACAGCACAATTTAATGAGTTCCAGTACAAGAGCTGGTACTTTAAATATGCGTTTTTCACTTTCGTATTAAAAGCATTTTGGTTAACCCATGAGAGGTTCTGGATAATGGTGCATTAACTGGAAGTGTAATGATACACCAAAATCATAGTTCGGTTCTCATCTCATCGTCGAGTTTTTTTTCGGGGGTGGGGTGGGGGGGGGGGGCAATTTTGATCTGAAAAATTATAAACGATTGTCACAAACAACATTGTCTTTGAGGTAATACATTTCCCATGGGACGTAAACCAGAAATCTAGCAGGTAAAAAGAGAGAAACCTGTCTTTTCTGTAGCAAGATCAAATGCATAGGGCTAAATTCTACTTTGAAAATTAAGCGAAAGATATTTGCACCCCACTTCAAATTATTTTTAAAATCGTGTCAGTGAAAGTGTATTAACATGTTCCGTGTGTTGCCCATGACTTGGGGAAAGTTTTTTTTCCTTAAAGCACTTACTCACATACTGTAGCTGATCTATCAGGAGGGGTAATTTATTCTCCTGTCAAAAAAAGTCATCACACAATGATGCACAGATGAAGGTTTAATTAAGAAATTTATCTACACTAGAGACTAAAACTATTTATTATATTAACCTTGGGAGCACTGTTCGCTCGTACGGCGCCATTTGGACTTGGCTCTCACTCAATTGTCGACCTAATAAAATGTCCTCGGATCGAACTTAACACAAATCAGAAAACAGATTAGCAGAACATTGTGTCGCTGTCAAATGCAACAGGTACTTTAACGTAACAATTGGATTGAATTATAGAGATGCACTGGCAGCGGTTTATGTTTGGCGCCAATGACAGTCTAAGGTGGTGGTGCCTGCGTGTAGATTTTATCTAACACCGCATCACACAGAGTCGATGGCATGCCCACTGCAGCAGGGTTGTGCTGCCATCCACCACCCAGAGGACTCAAATCATCACAAGGCTCGTATCAACAGAACCCCCGCCTCCTCACTTTGCCCCTCCGGCTATAGAAACAGCCATTTTGAGCCTTTCCCACATCCTGCTTTGTTCTATGCAGCTGGAAGTTACATGATGTGGGGGGGAGATAGAAATACAGTACAACACAAGAGTATTTACCTGAAACGAGAAGCACCCCCTTCTGCAATCACACTCTCCACTTTGGCGGCTTGACAATGAAGAATAGTGGAAAGAATAAGGATAATAGGAAGGGATGGGGTGGGGGGGAACGGTGCTGGGGAGGGAGAAGAGGAACAAACACCAAGTTAATAGACGAGCAATCACACACTAATCATAATCTATAATCCAACAAGGAATAAACTTGCTTTAGTTCATATTTCAATCCGTAGTAGCTTTCGTTACAGCCTGGCCTCGTCACTGACGAATACGCATGATATGAAAGCATTCATGAGGTCAACACGACAATGCACGCATGATGCCGTTATTACACAATTAATTTCTCTGCGAAGGGGTGGACACGAGTGACAAGACGTGGAACAGGTCATTCGTGACCATCTCTGTTGGAACAAAGCTCGCTCACTCTCCAGTCTATTTGGGATAGCGGGCTAGCCCAGCCGCTGAGCGAAACGACGTCGCGTGCTAAAAAGCGTTCAAAACAACGTTTAATGTCAGCAAGATATTGTTCGGTTGTGTTTGAATTGTTAACAAAATTAGATGATACAAACTGCCTCATGCGACAAAATTGGTAATCCGGTTGGAGAAAATAAAACACGAACATTCCAGTGCAGTAGAGCGGGGAAAAGCGCCGTGGATGGCCGATTACCAGAGCCCCAAATCGGACACGACACTCGTTCTTATTCTGACCGGCGAGCAATAAATTGCATTTGATATCACACTAAATCGAAGCAGTATCAGAGAGGCGACGACGCCGTAATGGCCAAGGATGGGTTACGAGCAGCCGGCTCGGATGCTAACACGCTAACAGCTAGTAAGACTGGATGGCAAATTTTCGCTTGTCAGCCAGCGCGACGCCATTTTGGATCAACCGGTGCGGCGTTTGCGTCGCAGGGATAGAGAAAAATAATCTGCCCTACCTTCACCAAGGCAGCGTCAGTTTCGTTAATGTTTTGTGACTACCTAAGGGGAAAAAGGGAACTGTGCAAAACACAAGCGCAGAGTGGGCTTCCTGACGGCAAACGGATTGGCGAGCGGCAGGAAGACGAGCACAAAACAAAGCACGGGCATCAAATGTCTCTTGCTCGGTCGGGCTAGTTTGCGTTAGCTGCCTAGCAGTTTCGATTAATTTGGGCCACACGAGTCGCCAATCAAAGCGTTTAGTATCGTTGACGAATTTTGTTGCTGTGCCGATTCAGACCAATTAAAAGCCAGAAGGACATTATAAGGCGTTACCAGTAAGAACATCAGCCAATGAAATGTTTTGAAAGAAGACAACGAACCGCCCTCTTTTTAATTGATTGACGTCCAATTTAACATCTGCAGTGCAGGAAACCACATTACGTGGGTTGGTTATTCATAAATAAAAATCGGCTTTAACGTATACCGAAAATCTGTAAATGAATTCAAAGAGAATAATTTCCCATTTCTCATTATATTAACATTAAAGTTCATGCTAACCATTTAGTTGACACGCATATTAATAAATACCATTCCACAATTTTCCTCCCATCATCCTCATTAATTTGGTTTTAATGCACAGGAATGAAGCAAACCTGGACATGTGATTAATTTTCATAGCTAGGAAATGTAGGGCAAAATGTAACGCTTGATACCTTTATTGGAATTACGGAGATAAAATACAGGCAAAGTGGAAGCTTTTATCCAGTGAATTATTTAGTTTAAATTGAATTTTATTGTCTTTAAAAAGTGCTTAACATTGTATTAAATGCTACTTTTTATTAAAACAATTATTATTTTTTCCATTTTCAAACTGGAATTAATTTTAATTTGGGGGCTTTTAAATGAACAAAAATAGTTTAGAAAATAAAAAAAGTAAAATGAAATGCATTCGTTTTGGGGAAAAAACACATTTTAAGGCTGATTAATACAGAATTAAATAATTATTAGCCGACATAGCAGTTACCGTTTCAGTTTTTCGTCACGCGAAACTTGCAGAGTGACTTACAGTGTAACTCAGTCGCCACTAGAGAGCAGAATAGTCCCTCCTATTCAGAAGAAACCTGATTTAAAAAGAGAAATTGAAGCTTTTCCCTCATATGGGATGTATCCACAAGACCCCCGTTAAAGCAACAATCAACCACACCAGCCTAAAAGTAATTATCGCTTTAATTAGCCATGCACCTTGCTCCCATATCTGAAGCAGAAGAGGAAGACGAGGAACCAGAAGGAGCTCAGCTGCACAGTGCAAATTGATTCGTGGCACATTCTAATTGTTTCACCAAAGCATAAACCAGAGAGCATTCAGGCGTGAGGCTAAAAATATTCCAGAAATTAAACATGCCAACCATAAGAGAATAATAGCTTATTCCCTTTAGACAATTTTTCCACCAATCAAAAATAATGGGAATAGAAACAGCGGAAAAAAAAATTGAGATACTTTAGTGACTGATGCACAACTTTGTCATCAAAACTCATGCATAATAGAAGGGAACAGATATTGCCCTCTGTTGTGACTGATACATACTGTAACTCGTGCACATAAATATTTTATTTCCTCCAGCTGATTGGTCGCTTTAGGGTGCATCATTTTCAGATACACGGTGACCGGCATTCATCCTGGTGGTTGGATTTGGGAGAGAAAGTAAGTCAAGCCAGCCCTTATAGATTGAAATTTAATACATAATGACCTATGAACAATTCTGTTTATGAAAAGCCTTTGGGAATGCATTGTGCTCGGATCTTGGGGACCTATTCAAGAAAATAGATCCGGCATGAGCTGCATGAAAGCTGTTCAACTCTTTCATAAGTGAGCCATTGGAAGAGGCTAAGCCTTGTGATATTTTCACAGGCTGAAGTTGGCATAAGTACAGATGTCCAAATACATTTTGGTGCAGATTGATCTCCGTTTTTTTTTCCACATTATTCGCCACGTATGTACAATGATTTGGAATGGACAAATTATGTCCGATTCCTCTGCTGACTCCCACCAAGTCATGGGAAGAGGGAGAGGGGGCGTGGTCATATTGCTGAGGAAAAACTGGCGTTTTAAGAGTAGTTATTTATCGACTTGTTTCTGTTAAACAAATTGATAACATTGAAAATGCAAGCGGAAAAAAAAAGTTTTGGGGTGAAAAGTGGGACTTTGTTGCTGGACCGTTCTTGAACAAGACCTCTTTGTATTTTTAAAATGAGAAATAAACGATGCTAAGGAGCTAAAATGGATGCCAGTGTTTCAGATGTGACAAGCGTGACCTTATCCAAACGTGCTCTCGTTCTAACAATGCAAGCCTTGGACATTTAAAAATAAGTGATACTGTACCATCTTTGGGGTAGAAACAATAAGGCAGTAATTTTTCCTTACTCGGATCTCCTCAAAGGCTCTTTTGGCTTGACCTCAATGCTTCACCTACGTGCCTCCCATGTGTGCCCCGCTTCATGACCTTGGGGAGGCTTGGGGCAGCAAATGCCAAGGAAAGGTCGATCATTGAATTCTCCTCCAAGGCGCAGTGACCTTGCGGGCACATTTCTGCTGAGCCCTTGTACATGGCATACAGTATAGTCTTACAGAGAACACAAATGCAGGCAATGTAGTACAGCTTCTATATGCAAGTTGTGCACCTGTCACAGTGGAGAGTTATTTAAAAAAAAAAGGGTCGTAAGTAATGCACGTTGCCCTCAGCATTCATGTATATAGAAGAAAACAGCTTTTGAATAGCCGTCAACTGTCGTGACCGATGCGAAGCTTTGACATCAAGACTCACGCCTGTCAAGAAAAATGGGTATTGAATAGTTGTCTACTGTAGTGACTGATGTGCATACAGTAGGAGGCTTGTGCACACATTCTTGTGTTTGGTGGTCTTTTGTGCGGGGAAATAGAAGAGAGCAGAACAGGAATGAGCTGGTTTGCTTTGGTTGTGGTGTCAGACAGCGATAACCTATTGTCAAATGAGTCTATCGGAGAGCGTGTAATGGATAGCAGGGGAGATTAAAAAAGAAGATATCGCCACTGATCATCGATCCCCATGTAAAGAGGGTCACCTGGAGCGCGATTGCTCAGAGTAGCACCAGCGAAGGTGACAGATATGTTATTTGAGGCAAATATAAAACACGTGCCAAAGTGAGGTTAAAGATTTGATATATATATATATATATATATATATAAAATACTTACATTGTGATATTATTGAATTATTTTAATCAATTTGGCTGAAGTCAGCTGATATAGGCTCCAGGACACCCGCGACCCTCGTCAGGAAAAACGGCTCGGGTAACTCAACTCAACTCAACTCAACTCAACTGTATTTATAGAGCACTTTCAATAGATGACTTATTTTGGAGAAATATAAGACTTTTAATTAAAAAAAACAAAACAAAACATGCTTATTTTTTTTTCAACACTGTTTTCTTCGTGTATTCATATAATGAATGTTTATCAGCATATGTATTTTACAGTGCATTTCATTGGGTGTCATTTATAAGCACATTTTCACTCTTCACGGCCCGAGTAGCCAGTCATCTCATCGTTCCTTGTCCTCAAACAAGTGCAGTGGAGGAACTTCAACAAACTGCCCCCACGAAGTTGGAAAATTGTTTGACGGTTTCTGGATAAGGCAACTCATTAAGATTCAGGCACTGTGGTCGAACCTGATCGACTCATTAACTGATTAAACAAAACCAGACATGAACTCCTAATCTGTTTTCCCTCACAAAACACCTGCCGAGGTTCCAACGTCAGGCCTGTAGGCTCGGCTGCGCTAATCTTCCTTTTCGTTTGCCCGCCATCTTTATCTGAAGCGTGCAGATCAAGGCAAACTGTGGCTTATTTGTCAATTAAATCCCGATGGCTGCGTCACGCTCTGTGCCTTTTGCTCATTAAAAGACCAAAACGTGGCTGGACCACACCATTAAAGCCATTGTTAACGGTGCACGCAATGTTTGAAGTCACATTTGAACATTTTTGAATGTAACAAATTCCATATGTTTCGTGACAACGCTTGTATCAAATCACTCTTATCTCAAATTTATTTTTTCCACTGAAATGAATGGAAATGCTGTTAATCTGTTCCAGCCCTACAGAAAACATCATTTGGTGTTGATGTTTTTTTGTATGTTTATTGTGCTTTCTTAATAAGTAAAATAGCTCAGCCTAGAATTGTACTGTAGAGAAAACAATATCGAAATCATTAGATAGAATGTAAGTCTTGCATCATGATTTAATGTATTCAATGGCCATTGTGCTGCTCCTTCTAGTGTTTGTGTGTGTGTGTGTGTGTGTGTGTGTGTGTGTGTGTGTGTGTGTGCGCCTTGGCCCCCAGTGGGCAGAAAAATGCTCACAAACAAATCAGGGTTGGGCATTTCTCCGATAAAAGACGATTCGATTCATGTCTTGATACATGGGGTGTGATATGATCGAAGCATGGGTCAATTTTAGAGTGAAAACAAAAATCCAGATTTTATGTCTTGAAAAAAACAACAACTTTTTTTGAACAAAAATATAGAATTTTCTAAAGTGGTCAGTGTGCTAAGCACAAGCAACACCAGGACTTTCCGCATTCTAACTTGGGCCATTTTTTCACTTTTGCGGCGCTGGAACGTCAAACGCACCCCCTTTTTTTTTCCCCAGAAAAAGAACCTTTTTATTTTCTCCAGAATGGTGGAACCTGCCGGATATTCCACTCGGGAGCAACTGTCCACTTCGTTTACTCTTTCCATTTGTTAGGTTGTTGTGTATCCTGTCGCAAAATACGAGTCGGCTGGTTGAAAAAATAGCATTTCTTGCACGCGTGCAAGGGGGTGGTCCTGGTGGTCCATTTGACCTCCTTTTAAGTTTCACCTCATATCCTCAAATGGTAAAGAAAAACCAATCGCACGGAGGTCACGTTTATGCCACTATGTTTTTAGGGAACACAGAGATTTTTTTTCTTCTGTTTTCTTGTCTTCCTTTGTGTTTGGTATTTAAATGGCAGCACAAATAAATGTCACCTTCAATTTTTTTTTTTTTTCGAGCAGTCTCCAATCTGTTTTCTATCTGGCGCTTGAGTGGCAAAAATCAAACAAACGATATTATCTTCATGTTATTTTTCTTTTATTCTGACTCATCAACTATTTGGCACTTCAATGGTACAACAAATTAAAAACTTCTTCAGATTTATTGATTTTATTCATTGGACTCACTTTTTTGTGCTTGAATGATTTAGAAAAAAAATCTTCAGGTTAATTGACCGCACCCCTTGCAGTCGCTCCTGTTTTTTTCTCAAGTGGTAAAAAAAAAAAAATGGAGTTCCCTTCTTGCTGTCCTCTCTCCTGTTTCTACTGGAAACATCTAATTTTACATTTGTCAAATTTAACAAATTTCTTTTCTCCCAGTCTCTGTCCTGTTTTAATGTTAGTTGTTTGAGTTGCATGCTTTTTGAATATATTTTTTTCCTTCTGACAGTCTCTCACCAATATTATATTTTATTTTTAAAAGCAGGCTCAAAATGAATCGATTGGTATTCCGTATTGATTGTAATTGTAACTGGTACGCCCCCCCCGTCCCCAAAAATCTTCACATTTATATATTGTTTTCTGTTTTTGGGTTGCTGTGTTGTTTTCTTATTGCAACTCAAGCAGTCAAACAATTTATCATGAAATTTAATGTTTTTTTTTTCTTCATCCAGTCTCAGTCCTGTTTTGTATTTGTCACCCAAGTGGTAAAAAAAAAAAAAAAAAAAATCTTCATTGATATTTATGGCCTGCCTTGTTTTTCTCTATTTGTTGCTTGAGAAGTTTTTTTTTTCTTTTTCAAGTGTATTGATTCACGTTCCCTCCCCTGTCGCTTTCTTGGTTTTATGTGTCGCTTGATCATTCTAAAAAAAAAAAAAAATACAACTCTTAAAATGGATTGATTTTTCTTATCTTCCAGTCCTTGTCATGTTTTCTATTCAGGTGCTTTGGCAGTAAGAAAAAAAGAAACTATCACATTTAAAACTTTCCCGCCCCCTCCAGTCTTTTCCTATTTGCCACCCCAACAGTGGGGGAAAAAAAAGATAAAATATATTGATATTCTTCCCTTTCCAGTCTCTGTCCTCTATCTTTTTTCATGTCAGCACTCTTCTCATTTTGCAATCATTTTCTTGGCAATTGAAACATTGTCACCTTTCCTCTTTTGAGGCTGTTACAGGCCCAGACGCATCAATGGCGGTAAAACACCCGCCGGGGTGTGAGTTGGACTCTATTAATCTATCTCTCAGAAGATTACTTGCTCACATTTGGCTGGTGGTAACCGTGGCGACCTGTCCACTGTCGAATTATTCATCGGGAGCGTCCGACCTGCTGCTCATTTGTTTTGAAAGGCCAAAGCACCCGGTTTCTATTCGGCATTTTGACAGGAGTCTATTAAACAAGTGGTACAGGTGGAGTAAAGTGCCATTCACAGTGAAAAGGCCAAAGCTACTTGTTTCTATTCTGGGATCAAGAAAGTAAAAAAAAAAAAAAAAAGGATTAATTTTGAAGCACTTAATGATCATTGAATATCTAAGGAAGAAGCCTATCCATTAAAAAAAAAAAAAAAAAAAAAAGCGGCCACGTAATGCAGGAGGAACATGTGACTGCTGCTGCTGCAGAGGTAATAAAGGTGAAATACGCTGAGTATTGATCATGTGACCATGTGATTGACTCCCCCGGGGGTCAGTGAAGGGAGGTGGGCTGCCCCCCCTCTTCCCCATGGCTCGTATCCGCCAGTATCGATCGACTCTCACAGCCCAGCTGCAGCTGCATAACAAAGGCAAAAACAAAAACATCTGCTACCAGAGACCTTTAACCCTTAATTGTCATCTGATTGTTAGCATAGCATCATGTTAACACTTCCCCTTTCCCAACACTGAGCCAAACTACCACTATTTTTTAGTTATACTGCGTCTATCTTCTCTTTAAAATGGGATAACAATCCTCAGAAGTTTAAATATGATTTTTCTTTTCATTGCTCAAGATCAGAAAAGAAACAAGAGGGTTGGCATTTCCACTGCAAATCACATTTGAAGGTACTGTCCCACATTTGCAAACATGGATTCTTGCTTTGACATTCAATAATCCCCTAAATGTTTAAAAAGGAATCAAATTTTTTTTATTGCTCGAGCACCGAATAGAAACAAGAAGGATTGGCATTCCATGCAAAAAAAAAAAAAAAAAACAGGACTGTGGCTTCTTTGAAGACTCAAAATTATCTTTGATGTTTGCATAAATATGAAGTGGAAACTTGCTAGGCCTCCAACTAATGTAGGGAATTAGCCCGTCCTCCTGATTTGCTAATCAGTCTGGAAAAGAAGGGAAAAACCAACGCCGGCTCCCCTCTCTCCTTGTGCGGCAAATTTACGAGTCGAGAGGGCCATCCTGCTTCCATCTCATCGCTCCGTGTTACGGCATAGGCCATGCATCACTTTTTGACAGCAATAATCACGCTGTCACTTGCGTGTACCGCCACGGCGGTTAAATCACATTCCGTGTTGAAAGCACTACGGCACCGTGATGAAATATTCAAATGTCGGAGTGGATGGTTGGTAATAAA